ACAAATGGGGTTTTATCCTGCTTTTCTGAAGACAATCCAGCAGACCTGAGAAATTCCACCAATAATTAAAAAAAAAAAAAAAAAAAAGGAAAAAAAAAAACAACAGTGTGAAGTTTATTGTTACAACACCAAGAATAGTAATACCCACATTAAAATCATATTTGACGTCTTAGCTCCTGTTTCTTGTGAATGTGCCTTACAATGCATTCTTCCCTTCACATAGCCATATGCTACTTCTTGGTCTTCTCCAGCAACAATTATATAGTGTTTGCTAAATAAGCTGAGGGCTATATACTAGAATGTGATAGCCAAAGATGAATATAGAATTTCATTCAGTAATTCCATCCCACGTATACTTAATGAAGCACTGTTATTATACAATACAGATCATACTAATATGTTAGAAAGAACAATGTAATTTAATTCACAGCAGCAACCTTTAATTTTTTTTTTTTAATCATTTCTGAGGGCTTCATTTAACAATCTTAACAATTATTTGAAAGAAAAATGCTCCAGGCTCTCTCAATGTACTAAGAGAGTCAAGGATGTCATTAAGGACTGGAACTTCAGGCCAGAACATGGGAATTCTGAGCTCATGTTATCCTGTCTTGTGAAAAGCTCTGGACTCCAGAGGAGAGTTAATTTGTCTGCATTTCATCTTGTAAACTACAAAAGAGTGTACCATTGTTTCAAATGAAATCTTTCTCGTAGTACATCAATGCAGATCACTGCTCTCTTCCCTCTGAGAATACATGTACATGCTCCTCAGAAAATTCCAGATTAGCTTTCTCAAACCATCAAAGGGACAAAAAATGAAGAGGAACGTGATTTAGTTATAGAGTTATAAATAAATAAAAGTTGTAAGTAAATCATGGCCATAGCTAAGGCGCAAATTAGTGGCTTATGGGCAACAGTGTGGCTCTGTGCTAGAAACAGTTCATAAAAATGAAGGTTTATCAGCCCAATCACACTAGCAATGCTGGAAAAAATGTCTGTAATGATTGTTGTGGACAATGTTATTCAGCAGAAATGGTCCATTGGAAAGAAGTGAGGGTAAGATTGCCAAGCAGTGGTGCCCAGCAGAGAGCTGAAGCTCAGTATCCAGGCAATCAAAACCTGAGAATAACCCTGGTTTAGTTTCTAGCCCCCTCAGCTGTGGTTAATAATAAACTTGCAGGAAAATATTTATTTTCTACAGCTTAGCCAATATAAAGGTTAGTTATATAAAGCTGTTTGCCAGTTTCTTCATCTAAATCAAGAAAGCACAGCAATATCATAAGGTACAACTCAAAGATGAATACTTTATTCCAGGTACAAGGGTAAAGGTCCAAAGTACAGGAGACATTGTCACAGACATCAGTAATTTGTTCTCCTATTTCAACAGAGTAACAGGAGGCAAATTTCTTACACCGTGAAAGTTAATGGCAAAGCTTGTTTATTGTGGCAAAGCCAGGTCTGCACCTCAGTGACTGCCTGGACTAGACAACTCACGAACAGTAGATTTTCTAGGAGATGTTGATTTTAATGAAGTAGCACAAGGCAGTTTATGCAACTACTTCCTGTGGATGAGAATGAAATAAGTCTGTAAGTCATATTCTCAGACAGACAGAGACAGCACTTCAGGCAGTATGAATTCACAGCTACTTTAGAGGGATGTACTGACCTCAAGATAGATCCGCTTTTGGGCTTGTGTGTGTGTTGGGATGCACTCTTAAAACAGAGAGTAAGGAAGTGTCAGTTCACACTCACAGGGAAGCAAACACAGACAGGCAAAAAGATGCTCTGTCTCCTAGATGAATAACCTATTGAAATTGCAGAGATTAGGCTGCTGCATTTGAGAAGCATGCTGTATGAGAGAGAGTGTGCCATAACAACATGTGATACGAGGTCAGAAGTGTGGAGTAAATTTACTCTGCAAATATTGAGAAGTATTTTGAATGGAGAACAGCTGCTATTCAGGCAAAGGATAAACACAGGTTTGGGGATAAAGCACCCATACTCGAAAGCTTTGATAAATCTGGGACACAAAAATACCACCACAAACTTCATGTGAATCTTTAAAGTTCTCAACTTCAGATTAATGCAGATATGTTTGAATGTATGAGGGAAGTGTCACTCTATGTTATGAATTTTTAGGCAATGATAATTATCACGTAAGGTTTGAAATATTGCAACAGAAGTGAGCAATTCTTTTGTACTTCTTGCTTTTTCATTTTAGTGAACCCAGTACAAATGGAACTGTTAGTAGTGTCTCTTAAAACCATGCAGTGGAAGAGATTAAATTTAAATAATATAGTTGCAAAAAGAAAGAATCAGGAGAAACAAGGTTTTGGGCAGAGCTGTAATTCACATTTCTGCCTTGGTGGTTTTCCAATGGACTGAAAAATGAGGGTAATTGTAAACAACAACTCTGATACGAACTGTAAAAAACTGGCATGCAGTCCAGCCAGCTTGCATCACAGAAGTTTCTGTACTTGTGTCAGGAAAGTTGATGTAACATATGATACATTATTTCATTTTTTTCAACACTGACTGTGGAATACTCTAGCTTCAGTATAGGACGTGTACACTTTCCAAAGGATAACATGGATAGTGACTCACTGAAGTAATTTAATCAAGCCCAAAAAAGCAGCCTGGCAAGATCTGAAACAAAACTGCCTGCCCGGCCACCCAGATAGGGGTTTTAACCTCGTAACAACCTCTCTTCCCACACCTCTGCAGTGCTGAATTTATACAGCCTACCCCTTGCTGCTGCTTATTAATGAAACATATTAAATGGTATTGCATATATCAGCATTGCACTGTTCTTACTGCAAGCCTATGTCAAGAGATAGCTCTTTGTGTTCAGCACATGGTTTCTGCTGGGCAACTTACTGCTTTGGGGGAGATTGGAGATTGTTGGATTCAGATCATCAGCCTCATCCCCTGGTGAATTAGGATCTCTCTTTCTCTCCCACACCATGTCTTTCTTAATTTGTTAAAAGCCAATTTTTCAAAGTGAAATCAATGCTCATGAAGTGGTGCCCTTGCTTCCCTGAAACTAAGGTAATTTAGTAAGGTCCTGACTTGAATGTTTCTACCACAGAGTATCCATTGGAATGATTGATGGCAGCAAAAATGCAGGTGTACAGCCAGAATAAATGCATTGCTCAGTTAAACCATAGCAAAATCCAGAGGTTACACAGGTTGTGCTTATAGTGTTATTTGGATGTGCTAACCTAAACAATGTCAGGTGAAATGAAAAAAGGTGAAATTGCTTGTTCCTATTCAACACACACTCCAAGACCCTAAGCTGAGAGGAGACAAATGAAACTGAAAATCACTTAGAGAAATGCAGTGTCCCAGTAATATCATTGTAACTGTGGAAACAAACCTGTGTAGGGAACAGTGTCTCTAAGGGAAATGGATAATAAAGGAAAAAAGCTAGCTTCATTTGAATAAAAAATGCATATTATTATTTTTTCTCTCCACCATTTCTTGTGGATGACAGCATACATTGGATACAATCAGTGCCTGCATTATAGGACCAGGTGTCTACTTGAAAGATAGAGTGTTCTAGAAATAGACCTCTTCTATTTGCTAACCATAGCAGTTAAAACAAATTCTGTATGTGTATTTGCAGCCTTGACACATTTTTGTAGTCCAACAAATTTAAATAAATAAATGAAACAAACATGAAATTGATTGTAAGGGCCTCTTTGCTCCCATAACCTGAGATACTGGGAGCAGGACATAAATGTGAAAAGCCCTGTTAATCTGATGCCTGTTCCATCACTTTTCCTGAACGGATGTCCATTTCTGTCAGCAGCCTATACAAATAATAATAATAATAAACAAAAAAACAAAAAACACCATTGCCTCTAGTCAAATGTGTCTGCTTTTCAGGCAGGCAGAATTAAAAGAGCAACTGTACACGAATACAGTTTTATTAAATCTGGTATGATTTAACCAAACAGAAGTACCCGTGCTTTGTGCATGGCGAACAGTGAAAACTTCAGGAAAACTTCCTTCTAGTATATAAACGAGGCCTGCAAGAAATCTAGGTGTAGTGATAGGACAAGGGGAAATGACTTTAAACTAAAGGATGGCAGATTTAAATTAGGCATTAGGAAGAAGTTCTTTACTCTGAGGGCAGTGAGGCCCTGGCACAGGCTGCCCAGACAAGCTGTGTTCAAGGCCAGGCTGCACGGGGCTTTGAGCAACCTGGTCTGGTGGGAGGTGTCCCTGTACATGGCAGGGAGTTGGAATTAGGTGGTCTTTAAGGTCCCTTCCAACCCAAACCTTTCTGTGATTCGATGATGAGACAGGAGATATTCCTGGCTCAAGCTCCATGATGCTCCTGATGTGCAAAGGCAGGGCTGATGGTCCTCACATGCATGATCTTCCCTTTATGGCACCGAGCTAATAATGGCTCCACATGGGCAAGATGTGAGCACTAAAACCTTGGTTAAGATCTGTATTTAAAATCTCAGCAGCAAATTTGCCACGAACAGCTGTGCCAGCCCTGTCTCAACCAGATAATCTGGTCCTGACCAGCTATTATGAAGTGTTTGAGATGTTGCTATCCTAGCTTTGGGCACTGCTCCTCTAGCAGAGGTTACAGCTGCTGTAGCAGGACCAGACAGGCCAGCTGAACAGGCAGATCTGGTGGGAGAAAAGAAAACAAAAACAAACACAAAGGAAAATGAACAAGAGTTTTTATCATCTCATCCACTGATGTCTTGGAGTGTGGGTTTGAGCCGTCAGGGACCCTCCGTATCAGCTTCACAAGGCCAGGACAGACAACCGGAGTGGAGTTAGCTGCCCTGTAAACCACAGGGATTTTATTTTGTGTGTGTGCGTAAACTGGGTGTTGATTTTCACATTCCTTACTATCCACCCAACTCTGAGCCGCGAGGGATGGCACCCCCGCACGCCTTGATCCGACTGAAATCCTACTGCAGGCGTGGAAACCTGAAGGCGAGGCGGGGAAACCTGCCACTAAGAAGAGGCAGAGGCAAAGGGGCAGAGGAGCACGAGCCGTCCCCACAAGCCGGGGACGAAGTACGGGGTCTCGGCTCCCCGCCCTGCCCCGCCGAAGCGCCTCAGGGCGCCGCCCCGGGAGTCGTCGACCCGTTGTGGCCGCTGGGCGCGGCGCCGAGGATCGATGTCTCGGCGCTCGGCAGCCGCCATCCCCGCCATGGCGCTGAGCGGGCTGCGGGTGCTGGAGCTGGCCGGGCTGGCTCCGGCCCCGCTCTGCGGCATGATCCTGGCCGACTTCGGGGCTTGCGTGGTGCGGGTCGACCGAGCGCCCCGCTCCGCCGTGGCGGTGGACGTGCAGGGCCGCGGCAAGCGCTCCTTGGCGCTCGACCTCAAGCGGCCGCCGGGTGCGGCGGCTCTGCGGCGGCTGTGCGGAGGGGCGGACGTCCTCATCGAGCCCTTCCGCCACGGTGAGGCGGGGCCGGTGATGGGCGCCCCCCCACACCACAGGGGGGGCGCCGAGAGGGTCGTAGGATACAGGGCTGGGGGGGTTTGGGGTTAGTTTGTGGGTTTTTGGGGTGTCACGGGGAGGGAGAGGCGTGGTGGGAGTTGGTTTCCCGTGTTTGGGTGGAAAACGGCTGGGATTGGGGAAAAGGTGGTGAGCAGCACCGAGGTGAAGTCAGGCTGGACGAGGATGGTGTGGCAAATAGTTGGGTGCCACAGAGGGGGAGGTGTGTGCGGGCCTGTTGGTGTACTTCAAGTCCCATTTGTAGGGTTAGTGCCTTGGGAAGACGCAGCAGACATCAAGTCTTACTATTCCTCTGCACACAGCAGCTCTCTGCCCTCGTAAGCCCTGTGTGGGCATTCAGCTGATGCTCATGCACGGGGTGTGCCTCTGTGTGGTTTAGGAGTTCAGCGACACGGGCTTTTCATTCAGAAAACTGGGGTTTATGAGTATGTTTTGTTGTTGGTGTTGTTGTTTTTTCCTCCCTGAAGTAGTGCAGAGAAAGTAAGAAATTAAATTCAGCTTTGCGTTGTAAATTGCCTCCTGTTTTCTAACATTTTTATTATTATTATTTAATTTTTGCATATAGTGGAAATTTCCATGCTCTTTGGCTTTATAAACACTCTCTTTTATTATCTGGTAATGCAGATAATTTTGTAACAAGACATTAAAGTTCACAGGTCTGTGGCCAAACTAGCCAAATCCGTGATCCTCCAGCATGGAGCTGGTGGAAGCAATGAGACGATGAGGGCCCATGCAGCAGGAGAGGTTTTTTCAAACACACATGTACCATTGACCTTTAAACAGTGATTTTGTGGCACCAGTGGTTATGGGACACTCAGTTCTCACTTGTGCTTTTGGGAATTTTGCTCACACATTAACGAGGCAGTCACCAGAAACTAGCATTTGAATTTATATATATATTTTTTCTGTGTCTTTGCTGTCATGTAAGCAAATTTATGAACTGAATGTATTTGGTTCTGTAAATAACTCTTTTTCATTGAAAGTTTAAAATAATAAAGCACGCAGACTGTTGCACTAAGCTGTTGGAGTTTTATACAAGCCAGTCCTGAAGTTTGCTTGAAGCTTCATGTCCCTAGTTCCCATTTTAAACTATGAATCCTAAAAACTCTGCTCTTGCCCATAGGGAGAATGTTTTTTCCTTTAATTTAATTTTTACAATTTTCTCTTGGCAATTTGATGGATCTGGCTTCTCAAAGTAGGTTCTAATTGTTAGAAATGTGTTACAAATTTCACCACTTTTCTCCCTGGCATTATCATTTGCCACTGCCCAGTAAGCAATAGAACAGAAGGAGATCTTACGGAATTTGAAGATGTAGTGATTTTAAAGTCTGTAGTAATTGGTCCTGGGGTCGAATGGGCATTGAAGTTATGTCAGGAGAGTAGATTTGTTCCCCTCCAAACCGCGTCTCTCTGCAGTCCCGTTACGGATCATAAGATATAGTCTGACCAACAGACATGGAGCCAACAAAAATCTGTGATTTATTTGCAACTTGTATCTGCTTCTTTTAAAGCCACTACTTTGACATGCAAGATCAAAACTTTATGCTTGATTACTGTAGACCCAAGCTGACCAAACCTATATTTCATTGATTTTTAAAAGTTCCTTATTGTCTGCATTAGAAAAAAAGCATTTTCTTTAATGTAATCATTGCAAATAGGCTTTGGAATATATGGTGGCATGGCCCGTTTGCATCAGTGAGGTAAAAGATACAGGAACACACAGTGTACTGAGAGGCTAACGTGATGAGGAAAGTACATTCCAGTAAAAGGTGGAAGCAATTTCAGGTCATTTTAATGTGGAAAACATAAGAGTCTGCTATTTTTTTTGTTTGTTGTAAAGTAATGCCTGCCTTTGGTAGCTTTCTTGCTCATTCAATGGTACATAGAGTATAGCAAGCTAAACGGCAGTCTTTTGGGGAAGTAAAAACAGAAAAAAGGCTGAAAAAAAAAGAAAAGACCCTAAACTTTAATTTCCTCTTACTTGGCTTGCATACAAAATGTATACAGTTTGTTGGTAATTTGTAACATTCTGACTGTTATTATTTTACTATAAATACTGAATTGGAATGTATTACTTCAGAAATTTCAATTCATTTCTGTTGTTTTATAATTAAACTTCGAACCTCTATATTTTGTGTCTTATTAAAAATAAATGCAAAATAGGATTTTGTGCTTTGTCCTGTTAAGGTGTCATGGAAAAACTCGGTCTTGGTCCAGAGGTCCTTATGCATGAGAATCCCAGACTCATTTATGCTAGACTTACTGGATTTGGTCAGACAGGAAAATACGCCAAGTCTGCAGGACATGACATCAATTATGTGGCTTTATCAGGTAACCTGTAAATTTTTCTGACGAATAATTTTTTTCCCCTTATGTCCAGACTCAAGAATTTATTGAAAGATTCTTTGCAGATTGTTACGATTACCACTAGTTTAGTCTGATGAAACAGCTGAGCAGATCTGAAACATCCCTGTCAGTGAAAGGAAGGTTTCCTTCTCCTTTACTGTGCTTCTCCCTGCTTGTTTCTCTCCAGTCAAATCTGGAGCTTGCTTAACCCCTGTGTGAGCTGTCTCAGCTCCCTAATGAGTCAACAACTAAGTAGGAAAAAAGAGGATGTTTTTCTGCCAGGTTATTGAGGGGAGGCAGTTCATTAGGAGATCTAACAAACACAAAATGTTGGTACAAGAAAGGAAGAAATGCAGGCTGGACTGGACTGTTCTTTTTGGCAGCAGCAGTGAGCTGTTAGGCTGGATCAGCATGACATCTCAGACTGTACAGTATTTTCCTTCCTTTATGTGCCATTTTATCTGAATAAGTTTTTTTCTCTTTAAAGAAAGGACTGAAGTTTTAATGTGTTTTTGTCTTTCTACTGGGCTTCTGTCCTAGAAAATCTTTTTACAGTCCCTAAAGGGCTGTAGACTATTTTGTGTGTGTTTGTGAGCAGCTGCTTTAAAGTAAAGAAAAACTAGGCAACCTAAGCCATTTGAACATTCTCATGTTCTTTTCTTTTCTGCTATAAATATCTCTAACGATACCAACTGAAGGGAAAGGAAGTTTAAAATGAAGCAGTTTTGACTGCAGCGTTATGTTTCCTTAAATTACTGTTGTCAGAATGCTGATTTTAAGTATCATGATTCCACAGGTATGCAATAAGAAACAATAACAAAATCACCCAACTCTGATGGTAGCAATCACTGTGTCATCAGTGCTGTCACGCACAGTCCTGTTTACTGCCGTTCACACTGCTTCTGTCACTGCCAGTGAGGGAGGAGAGAAAGTGGGCCAAAACTTCTCAGCTTCCCACTGCATGGTACATTTCTTTTAGCCCCAGAAAAGGGCCAAAGCAGAGGTGCTGCAGATGTGATACGCAATTACCACCTGTGAGGATCTACAGTGTTGTGAAGTTTTGTCTGGGACAGGCTCGGTCTTCCCTCATTATGTAAGATTGTCAGGAAGTCAAAAAGAGTGAAAGATACCTGGCTTGGAACAGCTGTGATTTCATGCTGAGATGATTTCAAAGTATTATGATAATTTGTTATTAACATAGGTAGAGAGTCAAACATTATTGTCTATTACTGTCTTAGGCTGTAGTACTTCCTGTTTACAAAAAGTGATGTTTCTGTCTCTGGAGCTGATGTAATCAGTATTTTAGTTGGCGCTATCTTACATCACTAAAACTTAAGTCATTCTGTATGAAATTCTAAAGAAATAGGACAAGGTATTTGGGATGTATCAGTCCTGAAAAATGAGATCTAACATTGTAATTTCTTAATGAGTGTTGGCTTTTTTCAAATAAAACTGGCTTGCATTAGAAACTCCAGATACAAGTTACTGTGTTAACTGGATGGTGCCCGTGACAACCTTTAGACTGTTAAACAAGAGATTTTAGTCAGTGACAGGGCTTTATGCTTGTCCTATATGCTCTACAAACTTCTTTATACTGTGAATTTGTTTGTGTGAGTGTTGTTTGCACTTAGGAAGTGCATTAGACTGTAGCTAACTAAACAATGCTTTACCATCATGCAGTTCTTGAGAAATTTTGACCATGTGTATTGTGAATCTCAGACCTTAGGCTATAGACTTAGAAGAGACATGACCATATGCAGAGTTTCGTATTTGCCTATGAGGCAAATAGGACTTTCTTACCTATGAGGGAAGTACAAAGAGTGAAGCGACAGTAAAGAAGCTCTTCAGAATGGCAGAGAAATGCCAACAAATTCAGAGGCAAAACTGCCTTTGCTCTATCCTTTTTCATTTCAGCATAATTTCTGGCATAAACATAGTTTCCTTGTGTCTATGTTGCATGCAGTCAGAGGCAATCTTTGTATGTTATATTCATCCATACTTCTGATATACAACCTGTTTTTCAAGGCTACAGTGGGAAGAAAGGACAGAAGTGCAGTTGTCAGTGTGAAATCTTTTGTTATGATTGTTAATTCATGGATTATGTGCACAGAAGACTGTAAATCTGATTTAAAAATTTACTGAAGTTGCTTGAAGCACATTCATATTGCCTAGTGAATTCCTTTGTGGTAGGTTCTATGCGTGTACAAAGTACTAATACAGAATTATTGCATTCAAGTTTTTGTATGAAATTTTGCCCTCATAGAGCCAAATGATCAACGGATTATCTGTAAGATACTATCTATTTTATTAATTTATTTAATTAAATGCATATTCACTAATATGATTTGAGATACTCTATTAATAATTTTGTGAATGAAGGAATAACTATTTGGTAAGACAGAGCTGGAGCTGAATCAGAAACTGTTGGTAGAAGTTTACTTTAGCTTTTATTTACTCACATAGATTGAAAAGAACAAAAATTTGACCATAAACATTGCTTTCTACATTTCTACAATTAACTTTATACTTAAGTTTGCTTTGTTTCCTGTACTACCAGGTGTGCTGTCAAAGTTAGGTAGAAAATCTGAAAATCCTTACGCACCAGTTAATCTTCTGGCTGATTTTGCTGGTGGAGGTGTGCTCTGTGCAATGGGCATTCTCATCGCCCTTTATGAACGTACCAAATCTGGCAAAGGACAGATCATTGATGCAAGCATGGTAAGTTTTCTCTTGGGGAAGTGTGGGTGGGGTGACTGGATTTGTTTTGTTTTTTTGTTTTCCAACACTAAGCCTGTAAAAGGAAGGAGGTTGGAGCTAATGGTAAGGTTTAAAATTGAGAGGTTGGAATGGGAAAGTAAGTCATCACATAAACTGGCTATACCTTTATTGAAAGCAGTTTTCACAGGTCACTGTTGCCATGACACCCTTATGACATGGGTGGACATACTGCAGCTCTTCCCCTGTGCCGTTCCCTGTGTTTCATTTTACCAGTCTATATGTTAGCTCTATATATTTCATAACTAAGTTTGGAGTATGGAAATATAATAACATAACAGCCAAAATGTTGATCCTAATAAAATAAAGAATTGTGGTAGCTTTATTGAAGATACATCTGCCTATGAATGTGCTTATGAGAATCACAGTTCCCAAGAAAAATTAATGGCCATGGATAATTGCCAGGGAGTGCAATTTCAAACACTTTGCAGTAATATGCTGTAAAATAAAGGCTAAATTTTGTGCTTGCTTAATAATTAATACTAGAGATTTTTTCAGTGCAAGGCCACCCACTTATATATAGGGGAAAAGTATGTATGTACATTTATCCTTGAAAACTATATTATCTTCAAATGTGCTATCTCCCTTGCCCCCCTCCTTTCTCTCAATATGCCTCTGTGCAATTAAAATCTGACCTGCCTTTGAGATGTTGTAATACAAAATTTGACCTGCATTTGAGGTGTTGTAATACAGTGTAGGCTATCTAGATTGTAAATATAATTTGAAAAAAGAATTATGTAAATTGGAAAAAAATCCTTTCATTGAAGAGGTCTTGAAGGTGGAAGAATAGCAAGAGGTGCTAGCTATTTTGACTTATTTTGCTTAAGGTTTTGACAGGTTCAGGTGACATTCCTCAGAAGTAGGCCATAGCAGTATTGTCCTGATGAAAGTCTGTGCAAAACTGGTTTAGTGTTTTTACCCTGGCAGTAGTTATTAGTAGTTGATTGCCGAAATGAGAATCTTACCAAGCGAAGCTCCATGGGTATCTTGTTTATTTTTTTGTGTGTGTTTTTCTTTTACAGTAAGATGAAAGATGGGTAAGGGATTGTGTTTAGTAAATTCACAGATAATGTGGATGTGGGAAAAACTACAAGCATGTTGGATGACAGGATTAGAATTGAAAATGACCTTTACAAATTATAAAATGACCTGAAAAACACGGCTGAAATTTATCAATTCTGCTGCTCTGTAATTTTCTTAGGCAGAAACAATTAGCCGCACAAATATAGTGTGAGAACAATTGGCTGAAGTATGGTCCTGGGGGTTTGTAATAGTCACAAGCTGAACATGAGTCAACAATATAATGCTGTTGTGAAACACATACATACTGTATTAGGGTGCATAAACAGGAAATAGTCCCAGCAAGGTTTCTTAACTAATTCTTGTCATCTCATTGGCATTTTAAGGCCACAGGAAAGTACAGTTTCTGGCACTGGCCATCATCCTTCCCCCCAGAAAATCACCAATTCGTAGGGGTCCAAGGAACACAACAAAAAATGATTGCAAGTCTGAAAACATGACCTAGAAAGGAAGGTTGAGAGGGTTTGTGTCTTTATGAAAAGAAATGATAAGTTTCAAATACTTAAAAAGATGCTTCTTCTATTTTAGAGTAGAACAGAATAGTTCAGTTGGACGGGACCTTCAAAGATTATCTAGTCCAACTGTTTGGAGTATTAGTTTATCTTCACTATTGGCGCTTTTAGTCATCAAAAGACTTTCCTGCAAGAAGAATCACTCTGAGTCTGGTAATATCCCACATTCCAGTGTTCTCATTAGGACATCTTTGGTTGTGTGTGTGTTTTTTCAGTTGTTTCTTTGATTTTAAAGCCTGCAAACCTTCTCTCCTTCATTTTTTTCTTGTTTCATTGTTAATTGTGGAATATACAGTTCCCTGCTGATTTTCCTGGTGTCCTGCAAAATGGATGGAAGTGTTGCTGGATGTATTTTTTCTGGAAAGTTGTTATGAAATGCTTGACTTTTATTTGAACAGACTTCCGATGAGACAGTTGATGAAAAATATATGTGCATCATAAATAGCAGACAGTTTATTTAACTGTTTTGATGAATCTGTTTTTATTTCTAACTTTGTTTCCTGGAAACAGAGATTTTTAAAATCACAATACTGCGCTATTGGAGCTGTCATTTCATTTTAACATTCTTTTTTATTTAATAGGCATATTAAGTTGCTGTACAGTTTTGTTAGTCTGGATGTGTTAATGAGTCTGACACATGGTGGAATTTTCTAAGGTAGAAGAGGGAAAATGAAGTTATTATTTTTAGCAGCTTTGTGTCCTCAGAATTACTTCAGTTTTTATCTTACTTCATGGATTGTTAAACTGACTGTTAGTTTTGTCTTTTTATTGCACTGTAAATTATTCTCATCTAAAATTACAATTTTTTTTGGCTTTGAGGCTAGTTTGACAGAATTTTCCTGATGAAAGCTAAAAAGTTGTCTTGGAAGCACTCTAATGAACTGTGATATACATAAAATAAACTCCTCTAGTTAGTGAAGGTAAACTGATAGGAAAGGAGAGTATAACTGATCAGGCCTGGGGATGTGTTTGCAGAATTTGTTCAGTGTCCTGTGTTACTGTTGCGCTGCATAGAAAAGCAGACACTGGGTCCTGCATTTCAGCTGCATAGCTCAGAACCCGGTCTGAACTGCTTCGTGTTATTTGCTGTCTCTTCTCATTGACTCTGCAAGAGTTATAGGTTTCTGTGCCGTGACCCTGGTAGTTCCCACACGCTGCGTGGGACACGGGAGGGATGCTGCGATACAATACAGTAGGCACAACGATGCAACTGCACTCTCACACTCTTCTGGAACGGAGGGATGCGAGACAGGGCAGCACTTGAGGTTCACTCAGAATTTAGACGCGATCTTCTGCTGACGGTAGGCATCTGACCAAGAATGACTCGCTCTTTGTGAAAAGACAGCCACAGGAAGATCGTGATAATCATCACTTGCATAATAGTCTCATGGTGAGAGCTGTCTGCTGTTTGACAGAAGGCTGGGGTTCCATTTTTTTCTCAGCCTGGAGGTATTCAAATCCCAAACTCCCACATCCTAAAAAGAGTTCCTCAATCACGAGGATAGATTAGGTTGGTGTGCATTTATTCTCCGCTTTGTTTGAAATGTTTCGCTCTACAGAAGTACCAGAAGACTCACAGAGCTAATAGAGGTCACCCAGTGGGACAGTGCCTCTGGATTCTTGTCCCTACTTCAGAGGCAGCTTATGCTTTTAGGGAGTCATTAAATGAAACGCCTAACTATAACTGTAATCACTGTACAGTTGGCTAAAGTGGAACCTTCCAGTGTTACACTTTTCATGGTTTAAAAGAAAGTTTAAAAGAAAGACCACATCAGTGTGTGTGGTGCCATTTGGAGACATGCCTTTAGGGATTTGGGGCGAATGCTTGGCGCCTTTCGTCTTTGAAATGCAGCAGCCCTCAGGCAGAATCTAGCTGCCATTTGCCCAGCTGGGGGTATTTCTGAAGTGCATATCCCAGTCCAAAATAAAGGAGCTATTCTATTTAAAGTGTCTACAGGGTTGGTAGCATGGTAGATTGTTGGTGGTTCTGTCAAATTTTGGAACTAAAATCTAATTTCTATTTAGAGCTTATTCTAATATTGTTCTAGTTTGCTAATACCCTTACTTGCAATTTTTTGTTATTAGGAGCAGTGAAAGATAAGATCATTAATAAAGCAGACACATCTGCAATTATTTTGCAAACATGCAGAGGAAGGTACATAGTGTTTTCTTATAGAAACATAGGGCAAAATTGTTCCAGCATTTGTGGCAGGAACTTGGGAAAGAGGCCAAGCAATACGTATTAAACAAAGAAGCCATAGTGCTTCAAAGATTTGCGTATTTTAAATTCTCACTTAGAAAGGTAGAAATGAATAGGTATTTCCACATGAAAAATCAGTAGCTTTTTATTTTCATACTTTCATACATGGACTGTTAAAATTAGGATGACTCCAGAGGAGGCCACAAAGATGATCAGAGGGCTGGAGTACCTTTCCTACTAAGACATGCTGAGTGGGCTGGGGTTGTACAGCCTGGAGTGCCTAAACGGAGTTGCAGGAAAGCTGGGGAGGGATTCTTTGTCAGGGCCCGGAGTGATAGTATGAGGGGGAATGGCTTTAAACTAAAAGAGAGGAGATTCAGATTAGACATCAGGAAGAAATGCTTTACTCAGAGGGCAGTGAGGCGCTGGCACAGGCTGCCCAGAGAAGCTGTGGCTGCCCCATCCCTGGCAGTGCTCCAGACCAACGTGGATGGGACTTTGGGCAGCCTGGGCTGATGGGAGGTGTCCCTGCCCATGGCAGGGGGTTGGAACTGGATGCAGTTTCAGCTTTCCTTCCAACCCAAACCATTCTGTGGTTCGAAAAACTAGGAAAATGTGTTGAAAGTGTATGATGCATCTGAAGCTGCATTATTACATTTGTACTCCTTATTCTTTAACTCTAGACAATTTTACATATGCAATACAAGTAGAACTTCTAAATTATAAGAAATTAAACTGCTTACCAGAAGTTTTGACATAAATGACATAAATCGATGATCTTGAGGTCTCTTCCAACCTAGAAATTCTGTGATTCTGTGATTCTGTGAAATCCTGACAAAGGACAGACCTTATCGTAAGTTTTTGTTGTCTCGTTTTATGTAGAATTAAGGTAATGTGCCAGCAAATTTACTGAAGCTATTGTTTTTTTTTGGTTTTGTTTTGTGTATCTTTCAGGTAGAAGGAATAGCATACATAAGTTCTTTTCTGTGGAAAACACAAAGTTTAGGAATCTGGAACAGACCTCGAGGTGAGAACTTACTAGACAGTGGTGCACCGTTTTATGAAACCTACAGGACCTCTGATGGAAAATTCATGGCTGTTGGTGCTCTTGAGCCCCAATTTTATGAGCAGTTACTAAAGGGTAAGTAGCTTGGAGTAGTTGTTTCATAGCGGCAAAGCATGATTGAATGAGTGCTTTAATACTTTGTTTTGGTTCATGACATCAGTTATGTTGATTTCTTTGTAAAAGCCAAACACTTTTCAAAAACAATTGGGTAGTGTGGTAGCAGTTCAACAGATTTTCTTCTAGCAGTTGATTTTCTTTGTTTTTCATCCCTTCTTGACCTTATCCCCAGACACTACACTTAAATTAAAAGTTTTCTTCTGAAATTACAGCAGTGGTAGTCTGTGGTCAGGCTTAAGAACTAATCAACTATTTTTTGATACTACTTTATTCAGAGGCAAGTAAATATGCCTTTGTTACTGCAAATAAAAGTGCAAGCAATTTCATTTATTTCTGCTATTAAATTTTTAAAGAAACTATTTTAGAAATGAATGCTCATTGGGATAGTTCGTAGTATTTCCTAATAAATAAGAACTTTTTATAATATCAAAGCTTTATAAATTATTTTCCATCACAGAATTGAGTGTTTTTTCTGTCCAGCTATGGATATGATTTTTATATTTGACTAAAGACTTTTAAAATATTACCTGTTTGAAAAATTAGAATTGGTCATGGTACTTCTAATAGGTAAGAAGGATATAAAACCATTAGAGAGTGTCCAAAGGAGGGCTACAAAGATGGTGAAGGGTCAAGAGGGCAAGATGTATGAGGAGAGGCTGATGTCCCTTGGTTTGTTTATCCCGGAGCAGAGCAGGCTGAGGGGAGGCCTCATGGCGGCCTGCAGCTCCCTCACGAGGGGAGCGGAGGGGCAAGCGCTGAGCTCTGCTCTCTGGGGACAGCGACAGGACCTGATGGAATGGCATGGAGCTGGGACAGGGGAGGGTCAGGCTGGGGGTTAGGGAAAGGTTCTGCACCCAGAGGGTGGTCGGGCACTGGGACAGGCTCCCCAGGGCAGTGGGCACAGCACCCAGCTGCCAGAGTTCAAGTGTTTCAAGCACCCTTAGACATGGGGCCTGAGTTGTCCTGTGTGGAGCCAGGAGATGGACTCAATGATCCCTGTGGGTCACTTGCAACTTGGGATGTTCTATGCAAAATCATTAATGCATGTAGTCAAAACAGACACACGCCGGTGCCTCTTTACCTTTGAACTTTCTGTGTACTTTGTGTTTTTGATCAAATGTGCTTTTAGCTTCCTATTGGTTGTTTCATTTACAAAAAGATTTCTTCTGCTATGCTCCTTTGGTATGTTATTATGCTTTTCATACAGAATTTGTAAAAATTTTGAAAATTCACAAAATAATTTGGGATATATTTTCTGTTTCCAGTGTTATGAGTGTGAAATATATCTAAAGTTCTCAGTCTAATTTTAGTTGTGCTTAATGAGTAGGAGTACCAACGCAGAATATACATGAATTGGATGTTCCCAGACAGCGTTATGTATACTGCTTCTTAGTATGAATTGCTTAAATACGATAAATCTTTGCTGAGTGAGGGTGGCAGCTCCTTATTGATGCTCAGATCGTCCCCACTGGTTGTTTCTTCAATTGTAGGGGTATATCTTCTCACGGGCAGTTACTGTCAGCTCCTGCACTTCCAGGAGCTTTCGAAATTCAGGAGCATGGTTAAGACAGGATGAAATGAAGGTATGGAGTTGTGAGATGGGATGTGCCTTTCCAAAGAAAGTTCTTGAACATCAGTGGCTATAAATGGCTGTTCATTTGCAGAGAGGATCACAACTGTTACATATTGGTATATGAAATTCATAAGGCAGGCTCACAGAGTGATATATCCAACATTACATATGGCACCCAGATCAGATGCCAAGTTTGGAAATGTAAGCCGTCCTCCTGGCTGAAGATGGTGGTATTCCTCTCCTCATTGCCCTGAGAATAAGTTTTCTGTTTTTGAGCTCCAGTTATAAGCTACCTTTTCTTGAAAGAGAAAATACAGTTGCTTATTCCACGCTTAGCAGTTCTTTGAAATGTTATTCTCATCCAATCCCTTGGGATTTTTGGATATATATTTTCTTTTTGATTGCAAGAAGTAGTTGGAGAACAAAAATAAATATAAAACTGTATCAAAGTAAAATTGAAACCCTTGTTATGGAAGTTAGGGAATTGGAATTCCAGTACATGTCCTTAGGGAGAATGCCCATATTAAATACAAAGGAAAAAAAAAAGAATAAAGCTGATTACTCAAATACCCATATGTTTGGCCTGAAGTGATCAAACACTGGCCTGAAGCATTTATGGCTGCAGTATTTTATTATTCTCTGAACAGTACTTACTTTTAAGCTGCAGGAATGGGAAAGACTCTATCCTTGTTCTTAAAACAACAAATTCTGCAATGAAGTCAGATGTTGGTTTGTTACTATTCCTCAGAAAGCCTTTGCCGGACGCTCTGGCATCCTGTGTTGATTGTTGCCACGGGGTGAGGACTCAGCCTTTTCTCTGTCAGCTAGCCAGCCAGCCATGTTATATAAGAAGATCCCTGTAATGAATGAATCCAGTGTTAAGGCGATATAACATGACCACTGACCAGTTTCTGTCTTATCTAGATAACTATTTCTTGAGGAAAATGCTGAAATTCTGTTTTTCTCTATGTGGTTTTTCAGAAATTTAGAGCAGAAACTATAAATTCATCTGCCTATATTGGGACATCACTCAATCATTCAGCAACATTAATTTCATGCCTGAAAGTTTTCCGTCTGCTTAAAATGTACATAAATGGCTTGTTTTTTAACAGCTGAAATTTCAAAAACAGTTACTCCACCAATAAAGAACCCATGTACTTAGATGTAAGTAGATAGATGACGTGTACTCACAGATGCACCTGTGTTTGTGTGCTTCTGTCAAAAACTCAGCGTACAGACTGCAGTCTTCATGGAAGTGCTGCTTTTTGCCTGTTTTTTTTTTTTTCAACTTTTGCTTATTTCCATTCACTAATTTTCTTTGTTTATTCTGTAAAAGTGTGTTGTTTAAAATATCAGATGTTTGCACAACAACAAGCTTAAAATAAGTGGACTTCATTATATTTGTGTGACTTGTTCTGATTTCAATATAGAAAATAATTACCCCCTTCAGTAGCTCTTCTTGCAGCCGTTCTGAAGCAACAGTGTATTAAATTCAAACAGCTGGTTCTTCTTGTGGCTTAGGGTTTTTTTTTCCCCTTTCTGGGGTATCTATTGCAGAAATTCAGTTCAGAATTTAAGCCTGTGAATGTTATAGGGAAGAGAAAGTTGCTTGTGAGAATTGTATTGCTATTTCACAAACCCAAGGAGCTTAGACTTGAGTCGTCTGTTTAACGCATTAACTCCGTGCTTTGAAGTAGATTTAAATGGTATGTTCCAGTTACAGTTTCCATAATTTTATTTCACGTTCCCCCTCTCCTCCCTTAATTCTGGTCATTTTTCTAGTAAACAATTTGATGCTGTTCCAGATAAAAATAAATTCAAAAGCCACTTTGTTTCTCTGTCCATACTAGGAGAACAGGTTACTTTCCCCACTCCTATATAATGAGAACACAAGGATTTGGGTGTTGGAGAAGTAATGGTCAGAGATTTAAAGAGTGCAGAAGTGAGAAGGGAACACAATTTCTGAACCAGCTGTCAGTGCCCACAGAATTTCATTGAGCAGAAGTGAAACTATCTTCCTTTTGCTTTGAGTTTACGTCATTGTTTTCCTGCAGAGTGAGGAGCTCAGTGGATCTGAGTGCAGTTAATGAAATAGTGAGGAAAGTTTCTTCTTAAGGATCTGCAGAGGGAAATTTACTAAGTTTAAGAAAATACAGTATCTTAGTTTGAGATAACTGTTGGCTTCGTGGATTGTGCTCAGCAGAGAAAATTAAATTTCTTCTTACCACAGGTTTATGAAGTTAAAGAAAATTGGTTATATGAGAAACTGAAGCTATATAAAATAGATACGGTAAATAATTGCTGTAATAGCTGCAGTATCAGGAGTTGTATTCTGATTACATTACAGACTGTTTCCTGTTCACAAACATGCTGTAATCCTTTTGCTTATATTAATTTTATTACTACTAAAGTCAGCCAATGAATAATGAAAATACCTTTGCATCTTACAAGAAATCAGATGTAGGGAACATGTGCTACTATGGTTAAGTCTCAATATTTTGATAAAAAGAGACAGAATGTCTTCCAGCAGACCTGTAAATTGCTTCTGCAAGTTTCTCTTAATTTTCAGCAGTACGTGCTTAGTATTGTTGTAGCCAGTCTAGGGGAAGCATGCACAACACAGTAAATTTCATATATCAAGTAAGAAGCAACGGTTGCTTCTGCATTATCATGTGGCATAAACTCTGCTATATCAGATGAACTTCGTGTAAATTTACAGTTATGTGAAAAGCAGAAATAGCCACTGAAGTTCTGAACACGTATTTAATAATCTTTTCACTACATTGTATGTCTTCTATTTAAAAGGATGGAAAAATGTAGGAAGCACTTGAAAAATACAGTTTATGTCATTATGAAGGATTTCCATGGAGCTTTCCATTCAGTGATTTAGTGATTGTGTACTGTATTAAAAATCCATTAATGTACTGAATTTGGTACAACGTCATTATTAAGATGTGTAAGGTGGACAAACAGTTTCCTTCTTATGTTTTAAACACTCTTGTCACACATTATGTTAAGTTTTACTTGAATTTGTTTATCATGATATGCCTTACATTTTGTACAGGAATGTAGCAGGGCCAGTTTCTTGCTGCACCAAAACATTGACAATTGTTACTATTACCCATGCAAACCTGGAGAACAGCTGTGGGTGCTTTTAGTGGCACTCTGATGTTAGTCTGGTAGTCTTTATGAACTGTCACTTTCTAAAAATATTATTTCAGAAGCTTTAAGCAGAGAAAATAGGTGCCTAATTTTATTACAGTTTGTTCATGAAGTTCTGCAGAAATAGAGTTGCTTTAATAAATAATTTGTAGATGTATCTCTCAATAAAGGTGTGTCACACTCTAGAGTACTGCTTTCAGGGTTCCCAGCATAAGGACATTGACCTGTTGGAGCAAGTCCAGAGGAGGCCACGAGGATGCTCAGAGGGCTGGAGCACGTCTCCTATGGAGACAGGCTGAGGGAGCTGGGGGTGTTCAGCCTGGAGAAGAGAAGGCTCCAGAGAGACCGCACAGCGCCCTGCCAGTGCGTAAAGGGGGCTATGAGACAGCTGGGGGGCGACTGTGTTAGGGAGTGGAGTGACAGGGCAGGGAGTAATGGTTTTAAACTAAAACCATTTTAGGGAGATTTAGATTAGATACAAGGAAGAAATTCTTCGCTCCGAGAGTGGTGAGGCCCTGGCCCAGGCTGCCCAGAGGAGCTGTGGCTGCCCCATCCCTGGCAGTGCTCAAGGCCAGGCTGCATGGGGCTGGGGGCAGCCTGGGCTGGGGGGAGGTGTCCCTGCCCATGGCAGGGGGTTGGAATTAGGTGGTCATTAAGGTTCCTTCTTTAAGGTTCCTTCAAACCCAAACCATTCTGTGATTTTATGATTTAAGAGAGACTTACAACTATAGCATTACAAGGAGACTTACATTTTCTTTTTCAAAAACATTACGTCAAGGCTGTACTAGAGTAGGTTATTAGGCTTTTTTAAACAAAAATCGCTAGATGGAAATCTGAGCAAGAAAGACTTGGAAACAAGTTTTGATTGCTCTACCAGATATTCTTTGTAAAGGATATTTTGTTTTTGATTATATTGGGTGAAATATGTCATTCTGTGGTATCCCAAACAATTCTGTGCTGTGTAATTGTTTCCTTGTTGACTCAGTCACTCCTGCTGTGATTCTGTTCATCTGCACCACAAATGGTTAGCACAAGCTGGAAAATTAGAAGCTTTAGTGCTTAAATGCTGTCAGTTCATACTATTTAAAGTTGAGCTCTTCAGTGGTCAGTGGAAAATGAGCATGTAATACTAAATTCCAGGTTCTACATATTGTTCTATTTTACTAGAGCATGTATGGCTAGATTCAGCCAACTTTCCATCTGGCATGGTCTTCAAATATAATTGTGTAATGGGATAATAGTAGAGCTCTATTCATATTGAGCTGACTAGTGGAACCCAAATATAATTAATAAGCAAATCAGTGTTTATCAGACAGTGTTTCCAATAGACAAGATTTCATGCACCGAGACAGAGTCTAAAATATATGCTGTTGCTTAGCTTTAACTGTTGTGGAAGATAAATTTCCCTCATTTCCTGGTTCTTAGGTAAGCTGTCCAGCACTGTTCATCTTCAGTACTATATTTTGAAGATTTTGTAAGCATCATTAGGTTCAATTTAATTATGGATACTTAACCATTATGAGTAATCTTTTGTTGATCTATTTTTGAACATGATATGAATGGTTATAAATAGTAGATTCCAAGTTTAGAGATTTAAGGTGCATGTGACATGGTAACTTGCTTAGGACAAATGTTTGCCTTGTAGTGATACTTAACCTGATATCTTTGGGAATCTCTGATAAGATGTGAGGATTCTTATTCTGCCTTTGGCTGTGTTGATTTGTTCTAAATTTGATCTATTTCAAGGCAGTATTTCTGGATCTGGAGATAAGCAGTCTCTCTGCATCATACTTTTTGCAACACCAAAATTAAATTTCAAAGCACGTGTTTATTTTCAAAGTTACTATTTAAGAATCTTGTGAGCAACAGTGAAACTCATTTCATATTATGATACCTATATAATTCAGAAGAGACTGAAACCCAACAATGTAACATAGTAGAGATGATAAGGAAAAAGTAAGATATTAAAGAGCAGAAGAATGGAGATGATATTCTTCTCCATTCTGTGTTTTGCTTATCTGTATTTTTACCTCTTTAAGTGATAAGGAAGCTGTAGAAATAGTGGAAAATGTAAAAAAACAAACAAACAAACAAACAAAAAAAAAACAACAAAAAACCACAATTGTTTATTTTTTATCTACAGCTGAAGATGAGAGTTCTGTCTACATTTTACATGCAAACAGGCATCTAGTAGCCAAGCCCTGTTAACAATCGCAAGTCAGATCATCAATCTGATAGCAGCCATATCAAAATATAAGAAGTCTCGACATTAAATATTTGCAGAGCTCCACATTTTCGCTGCCTTTTACAAAAAGCAGTTTTCTAAGAAGCCCCTTTTTGTTTATTTGTAAAAGCATTATGATAATAATTGTTCGCAAACCTTTCTAAATTTCTGAGATTGACTTCTCTCCTGCCTCTCATTCTTCTGGATTTTATCTGCTTCATTCAAGGTAGTAAATTTAAAGATGTGATTATTTGGGCAGCCTTCAGTATACCACTTCTGAATTCTATTTGATATTGTTAATTAAGTTTATGCTATCTCCAACTTGAAAATGTGGTTTAATTGTGTTGTCTCTTTCTTGTTTCTTAATTCCTTTTTGTGGTAAGCCGGAGAAGAAATTTTAATGATTCTTCTGTCTCCTTGGAATACGGAGTACGGGGAACAGGATGAGATGAGAACAGAAACTGAGACAGGAAACTGTCTGCACAGGAGAGATGTGAGCTCCACACTAAGAGGAAAAGTGGTGCTTAGTTGGGAAAAGGAGCTAAGGGTCCCCTAGTTCAGAAAATTTTTTGTACAAAGCCTGCATGTCGATCTCATGCTGTTGTGTCTCAGAAGGGGTGTGTGTACTGCATACCTGGTGGTCCATGTGAGTGACTTTCTGGGAAGCTGGGTTCTTAAGCGTGAGTGTGAGGGCTGCGGGTTTCACTCGTCCAGAAGAGAAGCAGCAGGAGAGTTTGAACGTGGGGACCATGCCGAGGAGGTGAGAACAGTAGATGCTGCTGTAATCTGTTTTGACTGAGGCAGTCCAAGAAGCATGTCCGTTAGCCTGCAGGCATCTGCTGCCACACTGCCTTGTTCAGATCAAGCCCAAGCTTATCCATCCACACCATCTTCTCATCTCCAGCGTGGAAATACCTGGTCACGTTGGACTCCAGGCAGCTTCTGTGACATAGCTTCTGTGATAGAAATTGTTGTCAGGACAAAATGTGATCTTGAGGGAGCTGCTGCCCCTCTGATGTTATAAATTGCAGAAATGAGCATATATGTGAACTTAGTTCACAGAACCGTAGAGTCATTCAGGTTGGAAAAGACCTCTAAGATCATCTAGTCCAACCTTTAACCTAGTACTGACGAGGCCACCACTAAACCATGCTACGTCTACACATTTCTTGAAGACCTCCAGGGATGGTGACTCAACCACATCCCTGGGCAGCCTATTCCAATGCTGCATAACTCTTTCAGTGAAGAAACTGCTCCTAGTATCTAACCTAAACCTCTCCTGGCGCAGCTTGAGGCTATTTCCCTTCATCTTATTAGTTATTGCTTAGAAGACGAGCCCGATCCCAACCTCACCACAACCTCCTTTAAATAAAGTAACTGTGAAGTACAATAAGGTCTCCCCTGAACCTTCTTTTCTCCAAACTAAACAACCCCAGCTCCCTCAGCTGCTCCTGGTAAGACTTGTTCTCTATGCCTTTCACCAGCTTTGTTGCCCTTCTTTGGACACGCTTCAGCACCTTGGTGTTGTTAGGAGGCGATAGCTGGTACAATTTAGTGTAATGCAAATAATACAACATTTTATTTTCCTGTTCCCTACTCTCCTAGTCATAGATATCCCAATGAAGTTTTTTTGGTTACTGTGCTCTGCTGTGTTGGACTGCCTGCAGAACAAAAGCTTCCAGAGAAACATACTTAGCTTTGATCTTCTTCTTTCAGGTCTCGGGCTCGATTCAGACAAACTTCCTGATCAGTTGAGTTTCTCTGACTGGCCTGAAATGAAGAAAATGTTTGCATCCATATTTGCAAAGAAGACACAAGCTGAATGGTGCCACATATTTGATGGAACTGATGCCTGTGTGACCCCTGTTTTGTCCTTTGATGATGCTGCCTCACATCAGCATAACAAACAAAGAAGTTCTTTTATCAAAAATGATCAGGAAGAGATAAGTCCTAGACCTGCTCCTCTACTTTCAAGGACCCCTGCTGTTCCATCGCTTAAAAGAGATCCTTTTATAGGCGAGCACACAGAAGAGATACTCCTGGAATATGGATTTACTAAGAACGAGATTGCTCAACTTTATTCTGACAAAATAATAGAATTCAACAAACCTAAAGCTAATTTATAATCTCTGACTATGCAAATCAGACAAACTTCAGGCTGATGTAGTAAGATTTTATGTATTAAATTTAATTACATGACAAATAAAAGTTTGTGTGCTACTACTTTTAAATGACTGAAGTTTTAGATTTAATGGGAGTTACATATTTGTGTGCTGGGATGGTTTGCAGTCTAGGATGATAATGAAATTGTGTTCTCAAGTTCTACACTATTTGCCTTAGCAAGCAGATGTAAATCCTCAAAATATTTTAAAAATACCATATCCTGTGAATTGGTTGGTTCTTTTGACTCATAGTTGATCCATTGCTTTGTTGTGTTGCAATTACCTGAAGGCCTTACCTTTTCATAAAATATAGTCATATACTTCCTAAACATATGACTGTTTACTCATAGATTAAAGGGGATTTTTATTTTTCTGTGTTGATTCATTTGCTTTACCATGCCAAAACAATTATACAAATAACGCTGTTTTCTTATGTATTGCTGTAGAGTTACAATGATAAAGTAATTGTATTTAAAATCCTGTCTACATTTTCTTTATGCAGTTGCCTGATTAGATTAGATTTGACATTTCAGTTTGCCTGAAAAGTCATTTCAGAAATAAATTTGTTATTACAAAATATCTGCCAAGTATTAATCCTTTTCTTTCTTTTTGGAAAAATGGTAGGCAACTTAGCTGCATGGGTTTTAAACAATGGTTGTTCTATGGTGGTTGTCATTTCCTTCAAATTAGTCATTTGAAGAAGTCTTTGCTCTTTCAACACAAATATAATTACGTTTTTAAAAATAATTAGCTATATGGTCTTAATACAATCATTAGTCCAATGTGTCAGGAATTCAGGGGGGGTTGGAGTTTGTTTGTTTTAGGGTGTGTGGGAGAGTGATATTTTCAGTGTTTACATTGGGGAAGATTAGCTCATTGCTTGCAAAGACTTCCAAAGCTTATTTTAGAGATGTCATGCCAAAATGTCAGCATTGCTACTACCAAAAATCCTTTTATATCTTACTACACAAACACCTGCATAGAAGGAGGAATTATTTAGTAGGTATTGACAAGTTAGATATACAATTAAACAAAAGTATTTTAAGTTTTCAGCAGATAATCACTCTGACGAATTGCTGAGTATTATGCACCTTTGCACTATCAGAGAATATCCTATGTTGGAGGGGACCTGCCAAGATTATCGAGTCCAACTCCTGGCTCCACACTAAGATCTGACAGCTTGCTTAGTCCCAAATGCATCTGCTTGTGTTGGCGTAGAATCAACGTTGTCAAACTTACTTTACAGCACACCCAGGTTTTGACCCAATATTTGCTGAGGTCAATATAAAAACTACTGCTAAGTTCAGCATAGGTTGGCTCAGCTGCCTGTGTCAGGTGGCTGACCTAAAAGGAATGGGGTTTGGTGTGTCACTATAGATTTCTTCTAAAACCTTCTGTTTTCTTGCCAAAAGTTTATGTGGCAGGTGAGACTGTTTCAAAACAAAACAAAAACTAAGTGATCCTGATACCCCGTTGTTTTTTAGAAACCAAGAAAATAATCAGTTTATCGAGGGTGGCACAGAGCAGATGCAATAAAATATTCAGCAGTTGCTGTTTGACAGACTTCTGTCAAGCTGTGTGTCTGTCACCAGCAATAGAACAATAGGTAGGCTCGCTTATCTTCATCAAGTGCCTCGAAATCCTTTTCTGGATATGTGATTATAGATTTATATTTGTATTTTTCCCCCTCCTACAGGAATTCAGCCCTCCGGCGTGCGGGTTGTTTGCTGAGTGGAGAGATGAGGGCTCTCTATTCCTGGTGTCACCGCTGTCTTGCAGCAGCAAGAGGAGCAGATTTGTGCCGGGCTGATCCTGCGCCGTGCCCATGTGATGTATGCTCCCGTTGTAGGCATGTTTCACGCTTCAACAGTAACGCTTTAGTCCTGCTTTGCAGACATCCAGGAGGGCAGATCTGCTAATGTTAACGCTCATCCCCGCCCCCTTCCTTTCATAACTTGTGATCGCAGAGCCATAAAAGTATGTGAGTCCCTCCCCCACTGCAGACCAAATCCACCCGGCATATGACCCGCGCTCCATGTCAGCCAGAGCAGGCAGCACCGACTTGCCAGGCCGGGGCGAGTAACCAGAGCCATGACCTTAACCAAACAGAGCTTCCACAGGGCCCTTCCACCCTCTTCTGAGGTGGCCATGACCGACCTGGACCACACCAGAGGGAAAGAGAAGGCTATGCAGCAATCCGTGACCAGGACCGGGATGGTGGTACCGAAGAAGCGACCGACGGGAAGGCTGGTCATGCACAGCATGGCGATGTTCGGCAGGGAGTTCTGCTATGCTGTGGAGGCTGCCTTTGTCACGCCGGTGCTGCTCAGTGTAGGGCTGCCCAAGAGCCTCTACAGCCTGGTGTGGCTCATCAGCCCGATCCTGGGCTTCGTGCTGCAGCCCGTGGTAGGTTCAGCCAGTGATCACTGCACCTGTAGCTGGGGCAGGAGGCGACCGTACATTCTGGGTCTGGGCATCATAATGCTGGTAGGCATGGCTTTGTACCTCAATGGGGACGAGATGATCTCAGGTGAGTGAGGGGAATGTGCTGTGCTGACAGACAAAACTCATGCCGGTGTTTTGAATTGGAAAGAAAGGAGGGGTTCCTTTATTTCCCTGTAAAACTTGGGTGTTAACATTGGGTAGCACGTTACTCGGTGGCACTGAAGCAGCTGAGGAGCACTGCAATCTATGTTCAGCCCTAATGCTGCATGTTATGTGCCCTGTATGTACTGTTCTGTAGTTTGTGCATGTGATTACGGTATTTTGTATGTTGATGTGCTTGCCTGGTCGGTTCATACTCTGCTTGGGCCTAGAAAAGTTTTTAAGAACTAAAATCTACCTTATTAAGTTAAATGGTTTATGTTGTTTGTATGATGTAGTACAAATCTTAAGAGAATGTCTATTAGTCTGTATTTTAGATGGGTCGGCATTCAAATTTATCTGTAATTCATCTTTTAATGTAGCTTTAATTATTGCAGCACTTGCTTGGCTCAGGAATGTGTTATGCTGGTGAATAATACAAATCAGAACTCCTTCGAAACCCTGTTGCACCTGGAGTGTGCAAAATCAGATAGGAGTGATGTCCCCAGATGCTGTTTTATTTTAGCTTGATATCTAACTTCTCAAAGATTTGCTAGAAAGTCATCACTATCATTGTGGCTTGTGTCTCCTTCCTGTGGGGAGGAGCGTGTTTTCACAGATTTTTTCTCTGTTTCCGGATATTGCTGCTGTTGTATGTATGTGTAATCATTTACCCAGAAAGAGATGTTAGCCAACTCTTGACTGTCTATAACAGAGCAAGGGTGGAACAAAAGGAGTAAAACAAATAAATACTCCAAAATGCAAGTATTTTAGGCTACCAGAACATGCAATGGAAGTGCATAGAGTAGAGAAAGGCTAGTGATGCTCTCGATTGCAGAGCCTTGAGCTGCCAAGTTCCTGCTTGTGTATAAAAGTCAACCTAGCACATCTCAGAGCTACGCAAACTCAAAATATAGTTATCCTGCTTCTTAGATGTCATTCTGTTATGACTGAGCTCTCATGCGTAACAGCGTTGTTTAGATTTGGAGGTTTCTGGAAAGAAAAATGGGGTTTTGCAAAACATGACACTATTGCTGTCAGAATGAGGCTTTTTTTTTTTTCTTTTTGTAGCTTTCATCGATGGGAGAGACAAGCAGACGTGGGCGATAGTTGTTACCATGCTGGGAGTAGTGCTTTTTGATTTTGCAGCTGACTTTATTGATGGCCCTATCAAAGCATATTTATTTGATGTCTGCTCTCATCAGGATAAAGAGAAGGGTCTGCATTGCCATGCCCTCTTCACAGGTACTCAGATCCTTTATTTTTCTTCCTACTTTGATGGAGGGGAAGGCAGTTGCATGGATTTTATAATCACTCGGTGCTAATCTTGAATGAACTGATCATCTGATTCTGTGCTTCAGTCACGGGTCTTTTGTTGCTGGGTTTTCACTACTTCAGAGCACAGCAACTTGTGATTGCTGCTACAAGAATTCTGCTGCAGAAGGCTGCAGGCATAAACATTTACAGTAGTATAGCCACGGTTCAATTAAGGGTAATTAACTATTTAAAAAAAAATGAAGTAGAGTTTAGTCATTTTGTTCTGATTTTCTTCAAGTTTTTGGTGAAGGAAAAATTAAGAGAAGGATCTTGTTTCCTTGGTGTAGCACTTACAAATAAGTATTTTTGACTCAGCACATGACAGAGCAAGTAACCAGCAGTACAGCTGGTTTCTGTTCTTCGACAGTGCTCCAACATATGCTGCCCTCCACTTTAGAAATAGAAGTTTATGTAAAATCACTAACTTCCAGAAAATAAGACCAAGGGGTTCAGTCCAAAAACTTGCTTCATGTGATTGCCTTTAGACGTTTGAAAAGTTGCTGAGTTACGGAAGGAAAGAGTTCATGCAGTGCAGAAGGCTTTGCCCTGTGTTGAGGAAACAAACAGGCAATGCACATAAGGCTGCGCACCTGTAGTGTGACTTTGGAGGAGCTTCCAGCTGTGTCTGAGAGCAGTCACTGTGAAAGGTCTAGACAAAAAACAGGCTAGATGAGAAGTCATGCAGTCTGTATTGATGCAGATTTTTGTGGCATCTGAACCATACCAAGAGCAGAAGCACATGGATTCGGTGGTGGTTACCCCATTTGAGAGGGAGGTGTAGTAGCTATTGGCAACAGACAGATTTTGGATATACGAAATAGCTGCATCCTGGAACCTGGGCACAGATTCTAAGAGAACCCTGAAGCCACATGGGAATGAAGTCAGTATGAGCCATTAGAAACCCACAGACAACATTTTAATCAATCACTCATTTGGACAGAATGAGGAGTGAGACTCTAAGTCTCCTGCCTTCAGCAGAACTCTTTACTATTTTTCCTACTAAAAAGTTTTGATTTCTACATTCAGAGCTACTGAACTGATTCATTTGTGTGGTGAAAAGTGATGTAAGATAAATCACATTAAATGCAAGCAGAACAGATTTCTCCATATTATTTGGTCCAACACCTTGTCACTATATCAAGATCTTCTGTGCCTAAACCCATTTGGATGGGTAGTTGCCCAGCTGGAGATTCTGCAGCCCTCCCAAGGCAGCCTGCTCCAGCATTTCACTGGCCTTGCTGTTAAATGTTTTTCCCTAAAATCTAATCTTAATATACATTTCCTATAGTTAAAATATATTACTCCTTTTCTCTGTCTCTATTAAATACAGAAAGCATCCTTCCTTCCCCTTTTTAATTGCTTCTGTTTTATGTATTATTATCTTTCCCCTATTTAGTTCCTTCTTTTTACATTAACTATCCCCAAGACTGCTCTCCAATTTGTCTTTGCCATTTTTAAAGTTCAAACATGAAACTGGATAGCTTGCAGATATAAAACTGAGACAAGTAGAAGAAAGACTGCACATACCCAACACACAACACACAGACTGTGCATTCCAATATCATGATTACTTTTTGTCAAAACAGTATGCAAAAAAGACCTCGAGCATCAAGCATTAACTGCTGTGCAAACATTTAGTGTAAGTTTTCTTCCAAAAGATATTAACAGCTTAATTGTTTTTCATTAGAAAAGCAATGATACAGTCCCCATCCAGTAGGGCACAAGGAAGGAGGGCTGTGATCAGACCCAAGAGGGAAATAAGTACAGAAAGCCCAGAATGGAATGATAATGACGTGGTGTTTAGGCGAAGCATACGTGGTTCTTGTTACCTCTGTTACTTTTTGTTGGACAGAATGGTTCTGCCGTGCATTGTCTCCAGTTCTCCTAAGCAGAGGAGCAGAAATACATCCAAGTCCTTCAGATGCTTCTGTGCTGGGTCACTTCCACATCCTGCAGAACCACCTGGTTAACGAGGTGGCAGGACTGTGCAAAGCTGCCTCCCCTGCCAAAGCTACGTGCTGGATGTAACAGTGTACACTTGTACCTTGTGCTTCTGAAACAGCTTGCACTCTCATCAGAAAGAAGGAATTGTAAAACAATAGACTGAATTCTTTTTTTATTAACTTTGAGACACAAGATAGAGTAAACAGTAAAATGAGAAGGCTAAATTTTCTGAGATGGGGAAGCTCAATAAGAGGAATTTCTCATTTATATTCGTTCCTTTTTGTTTTCCTTTCCTAGTGGAGAGGTACTTGGATTTTGGTGATTACAAAACAACGGGTTTTATTTCATTCCTTTCCTAAAAAAACAACACAAACAAACAAACAAGCAAACAAAAAACAACATGGAAGCAGTATTACTGTTCAGATTCTGCTGTATAAAGTACATTTTACAAAGTCTGAAGTACAGATAGTCTTGATGTAATAGGAAAATTGTTTTTTCTATGAAGTTTCAGAAAACACATGTTCCAGTAGAGTTTTATTTTGTGTTACTCACTGTTTCAAAGAAAAGACAGCTTCAAAGAAATGTTTCTGAATCATACAGAATATTGGCTGGCAAAGAGATGGAGGTCCATGTTGCTAAATATTTGGGTCTTTTTTTGAGAGCTCCATCCACCAGAACCAAGGATATTTTCCAAGAGACATTTTGGTAACTGCTCATATGTGTGAATAGCTCAGTGTTCCACTTCCTTGTGATTCTTTCCACGTATAATGATATCTGAAGGGTGTTTATTCAATCATTACTAGAGGGAATCACATGTTGAGGGTATTGTGTGCTGTTTGTTTATTTTGTGAATACCAGTAGATTTTTTCCCCCTTTTTTTTTCCCCCGTGTAGGCTTAGGAGGAGCCCTGGGTTACCTGACAGGTGCTGTGGATTGGGGTCAAACCGTACTAGGATATTCCTTAACATCGGAATTCCAGGTGATTTTCCTCTTGTCAGCCTTGGTTTTCCTAATCTGCCTTACTGTACATCTGCGCAGTATTCCTGAAGTCCCGCTCAGATATAACAAAGAAGAGACAAGGTTATTGTTGGAAGTGACTGACCCCAGGAAGTATAGCTCCATAGAGGAAATCAGGAATGGATACATAGCATGTACTGAAATAAATGCTGCAGCAAAACCAAAGAAGCACGCTGCTACATCATGTACAGAGGTAAGTGCAGAGATGATTTTGTAGCCCATATCATTCCATCCTTGGAGACCAACAGCCTTTTAATTAGCTAATGCTGACTATTTAAAATATACCCCTTTCACACACACGCTCAGTAAAAGAATCCTCCACCAGGATGCAGCATCAGTAGAAAGTCTGCTTTCTTTTCTTTTTTTGTTATTTGTAAAGTATTTCCAGCAAGACAGATGGAGACAGACTAGTCCTGATGCTTTGAACAGTTGGCAGGGATGAGGGAGAACCAGATTCAAGTTTCCACCCTTAGTCAGTTTCTTGTATCCTCCTCATCTGAAATTTGTCAAGAGGATATAATTTGTCCTTCAGTCCTGGCAGAATTAACAACACATTGTGGACAGGAGCTACAGACCATTAATCTTTGATATAAATGTGCAACTCCCGTTGATGTCAACACGCTTCCACATTTAGTACATATGAAGAGTTAGTTCCCTGGTCTGATAAACATTTCAGTTATGCTACTGCTCGGTATTTCATTGAGGATTTATTGATGGTGTTGATTTGTTTGAAATTGCTACTTAAGCAACAGTGCGACGTCACTTCCAGGGTTTTAGTTTTATTCTGAAGTGATGGTGTAGCTGTGCCTTTGACAGAATTCTAGGTGGGAGAGAATACCCTGTATTTGCAAGTAATCACTGGTATTTTGTTCATGCTGAATTCTTATGAGAGATAGCTTCAAGCTAAGGCAGCAAAGAAAAGGTGAACCTACCTGAAAAATATCTGGGGAACACATTTATAGAATAGTCTTAGGAACACGTAGTGGTTTTCACTGTTTTGTTGATGACTTTTAATGTGGAAATTCTTACCGCCCTTTCATGGTATCCTAGGTATGCAAAGGTTAATATATATGTTTGGTTCCTAGTATGGCAGTAAGTAATGAAACAGTTGGCTGTTTTAATTTCACTTCTTATCTCTTGGCATTATGTGTATATATCCCTGACACAATTCTTAGGAAATAAGCTAAAAATTAATGAGAACACACAGATGATTTTAAGTTAGAAAACCCGAATTCATATTTAAAGTACCAATATAATGGATTTATTATCTTTTACTATTTAACACTTGTATTCTAGCAGCACTTGGTAATCGCAACCCAGATAAGAATATTATTATAGCAGACACCACACAAAGCCAGAATAAAAGATGCACACTGCCTGGTGAGGATGCCAGACACACGGTGAGGGACTGGCAGCAAAGCAGTAGTGTCAGGAGAATATGGCTAGCACACTGCAGTGTTTTCCCCGTTTCCCTACCTCAGGCCAACCTGAGCAGACAGCATCCTTCAGCAGCACAGTTATCTCTGAGCATCCTTCAAATTGTCAGAGACACTCTGTGTCATTGACTGGGCAATGCAAGCTCCAAAAGAAAGGAAGGGCAATGAAGAAGAGAGGGGGCTGGGCTAGCCTCTTGCTTGGCAAGAACTAATACCAGTGAATCAGTAGCATCTGACACCCGAAGAAAAATTCTGTCATGCACTGCAGGCCAGCTTCTGCTGTTGCCTTTCTTTCTAGGATTTTAGCTGGACAGCCCATCAGATGCTCATTGTGCTTTGATCTGTCTCATGTTTGTTTGATGTGCCTGGGCTTGTGCAAATTCTGGACACTCTCACTACCGCAGTGGTCTGCCTCCTGTGGCACATGTTTTCTGAGTTCATTCATCACTGTAATTACTTCCTTGAATAAATGGTTTGTCTTCCTGTTTTTCTGTGTCTCTTTTTTCACCGCAGGCATCATGGCCGTATTTCTTCTAAATTAAGGGCTATGCTCTTACATACTAATAGCGTCCATGGTTATTAATGAGATTTGACCTGTTATGGTATGAACAGAAATCCAAAAATATTCTTCTCTTGTTCTTTATTTTGATGCCAAATTACTCCGGATCTATGGCCATAAAGCTTGTAATATGAATCCTTATGAATCAGCCTTGAGTTGTAGCAATTTTGTAGAAAAAATGATTAGGTATTGTGAGATTTTAAATGATTGTGCATTGGAGGGCACTAAACATATGTATTAAACATTTCTGTTTCCGTTTCTACTCTTTAAAATATCTAAATAGAAAGAAAGCATGTCTAACTGTCAAATTATTATTTGGAATTACTGCCCCTTTAATTTCCCTGACCGTATCCTAATACCTTGAAAATACCTTAGAAAGCCTATTTTGAAGAACTTTGTGGAAGAGTTGAACAAATTATATAAGCTAAGTCAAACAATAGCAATTATCCTTGAAATGACGCTAATGAGTTAGTGTGGAACTGCCTTGTTTTGTTTTTTGTATAATTATAGTTGAATAGAATGATTACTCTGTTTAAAATACAGTTAAAAGAGACAGTGATACTGAGAGAAATTCCAAGGGATTTAGACAATATGCAGTTCAAGGTAAAAGTCAGTGACTTGAATTTTGGCATTCCTATGAGGATTAAAAACCTCACACTGGAGCAATGTGTTTTCCAACTTTATATGTGGTGATTGTTCATAGATCAGCTTGCAGGATAACCTAGTTCAAAGGAAAGCAGAATTGCGAAAAGTAGCTAGAGCACTAAAGGAAGGAGAAAAGTTATCAGCTAACAGCAAATTGAAGACACAATTCAGCTTTCCAGCAATGAACATAACATTAAAGTTCATCCACATTTAGTGGCCATACAGCTTTCCTCACCACCTCTCCATTGTTGCCACCGAATATTGCTAGAGAAAACTGGAAGTGTTCCATCATGCACAGAATAGTATTAAAAAATAACATTTGTCTTTCTCTGAAAGTAAAGAACCATGCAGGAGCTTTTAAGTAGTAAGGACTCTACATGTATGTTGCAAATGCCTGACATCAAGCACACCTGAAGCACCGAAGAAATCAAGCGAAAGAGGTGATCTGACCTGATGTCTGTGACTGAAAACAAAACAAAATAAATAAATAAAAAAAAAAAAAAAAAAAAAGAGGTTTTGGGCACAGGGTTCAGACAAGGAAGAGGGAGATAAGGTAGGGCACTGAAGGTGGCAAGACTATTTGTTTTTCCATGTCAGTGAGATTTGTTAACCCATACCTATAATGTTTTTGATGTTGTATTCAGTTGTTTTGCCCATGAGGTGGGGGTGTTCAGGTGCTGGAGCTTACATTATCTGGACAATAGGGTTTTGGGTGGTGCTGCATCTCCTGTCATGTATCACCTCTTCTTGCCTCTTGAGGGGGAAGATGTAGTGGAAATTCCATAGTGATTATACACCAGAAGAGGTTAAGTTTCTTAGGGAACATAGGACATAGAAAGAGGAATGGGAACAAAGTCTCAGAACTGCAATACTCCGCAACTGATATACTTTAGTTCTGAGGAGATATTTTTGGGTTTCATTATTTTCCATGGCAGCTTTAAATCTGTGATGGAAAGCTAATTGTCTCGAGGAAATAATTCTTTTCATGTTTGTTTTCTTTTGTTTTTTGAGCCCCTGCTGAATGTGTTTTGGCAGAAAATTTTCACTTGGTTCTAGTGGTAATCAATAATTCTACTGCCTGTAACAACAAGCAGTGTTGCTACATCTCTGCTGGTGTACCCCAGCTCCCCAAGTCTCTGTGATCTTTCAGATGACTTTACTATACAATGGCTTTACAAGTCAAATATACAGTGAAGGACATTCAGTACTCAAGCAACCCATCCTAGCAATAACAAATAAAACACTTTGGAAGTTTAGCAATGAAAAGATACTGAGGCCTTCTCCATTTGCCGCCAGCTATTTTATTAGCTTTCAGGGCAATAATACAGTCTTATTGTTAAATACTTGCTTTTAGACTCAAAGGCGGATGACCCTTAAGTCACTCTTGAAGACGCTTTTCAGCATGCCATCCCACTATCGTTATCTGTGTGTGAGCCACCTGTTTGGATGGATGGCTTTCCTGTCCAACATGCTCTTCTTCACGGATTTCATGGGACAGGTAAAGGTGTAAAATCCTCTTGCTTTTCTTCCCTTGTAGCATCTCCTCCTCCACCAAAAAGAAACAAGATATTGTTACAAATCTGAAGGAATGTCAGTGACTCCCATCCAGTATGCCATGTTTCCTTGCCTTTTTTTGGTCTCTTTAAGTGAGAGGGAGTTTTGGTTTCCTGCAGTGTATATGAACACCTAAAAGAAAAATTTTGCTTGGCTGGATAGGGGACTGAATAAGAGAATGACTGATTGGAACGACGTATGTGCAGCATGAAAGAAAAAAAAAAAAGTAATTATAGATAATTTAGAAAATAGATGCTAAAGCAGGAAAGCAGAAGCAGAGAGAGAAGGAGAGTGGGAGATGGGACACTCAAAGGAAAAAGGGCAAATGAGTGGACAGAACAGAAAAAAATTGAGGGTAAGAAATGAGGACAAATCTGGTACGTGAGAGTCTGGGAGAAATGAGTGTGAAATCTGAAGAACTGCAAATGGATGATGGGGACGCTGCTTGAAAGATTTCTTGGGTGCTAATCATCACCCCTACCAGGGATGAGGCCCTGTCTTGAGTCCCATGTTATGGTAAGCAGGAGGTATTGTATACATGCAATGCATCCTTGTCTTTTGTGACCTCTATGGTCTCTTTCAGGTTGTATACCGAGGTAGTCCTTATGCACCTCATAACTCCACAGTTTACCTTACCTACAGAAGAGGCGTAGAGGTTGGATGCTGGGGGCTGTGCATCAATGCAATTTCATCCTCAGTCTATTCTTGTAAGTATCCAGGAATGTACTCCAACACTGTTTTAAATCAGTGTTTATACTGCTTTCAGTTTGCCATTGTTTAAAAAAATAAAGTGATGCCAAATATTTTTTTTTGCATGAAAACTTTAAGAAATATTACATTCTCAGCAGCGTTATAAATCTGTATCTTGACATGAGCAGTTCCTGTTTGGACCATGTGATGAGGGGTCACTTTAAGACTAAGGCATTGTGCTGCATATGAACTGACCCTAAACACTGAATATTATGCTAAAGGTAAATGTCAGAGTAAAATCGAAGCCGTGGTTATCATTCTGAGATGCTCTTTCACCTAGCAGACCTGTAGCATTAGGTTTTCAAAGGTCTGATGGTCTCTCCCCATCTGCATTTCTCACAAAATGACCTTTTCACAGTACAGTAGAAGTTCTTGCCAAAAAAATGAACCTTGCTCTCAAAAATTATGTGTAAATACTCTAGCACAGCTTCTCAAATAAATCTCACCATAGCTCTTACCCAGGATTTAAAAATTTCTTGCTATCCAAAAACTCAAATTAGGAGCATTTTGGGAATTGAAGTGAGCATCTAAAAGAAGCTTTCTCATTTGGAGCTTAACTATAGGCATTTATGTAGCACCTCTTTCAGCTCAGACAAGGGCTGATGCCAAATGTTCCTGTTGTAATCAAACAGCGGAAATGTCTGAGGTTGTCAATGGGGCAGTTCTTCCAGAATGGCTGTTAACTACTTCTTCTCAGAGCTTGGTTATGTCTGAATAAATGTATCTCCAGAGACAGTTAGCAGAAAGAAGTATTCTGCAGCAAGTTTATAACCACAGTAATTTAAGGCAACTTCCAAAATCAATACCTTTCTCCTTCATTTCATCTTACGAAATAAAACTCCTTAAAGGAATTCCCCAATGAAATGTGACTTATTCTGTTCTAGTCTCAGCAGCATTTTTTCTTTCTTTCCCCAGACCTGCAGAAAATCCTTCTGCAATACATAGGATTAAAGGGACTTTATTTCATTGGATACCTACTTTTTGGATTAGGTACTGGATTAATTGGCTTGTTTCCCAATGTCTATTCCACTCTGGCTCTGTGTTCCCTCTTTGGTGTCATGTCCAGCACACTGTACACAGTGCCATTCCAACTCATTGCAGAGTATCACAGAGAAGAAGAGGTAAGTTCAATGTCTAAAGAAGGATAAATCTGTTTAGTCTGTTTTGGCAGAACATTGGATAGAACTGGCAAACAGGTTTTAATTGTAATTTCAAACTATTTATGGTGACATATTATGAACAGAAAGTTTCTGACATAAAGATGTTCAAGACTTTATTAAACAACACTAATATTATTAGTTGTCATGTAGCTACATGACACCTCGCAGCTAATGTCCCAGCTCCAGGCTCTCCAAACAGAGTCCTGCATTGAGACAAATAATTATTTATCATCCCAGCTGAAACAAAGCCAGTCACAATACATGTTCAGGCAGGAAGAGGATAACAGGGCTCCAATTTGCATTGCTTTCAAAGACTGCCTTCCTGAGAATCAAATCTAAACCACTGCTCTGTGCACCATTGATCTCTCATCTGTGTGTGTATGCCCTTGTTTCTAAATGCAAGGGGCTCAGGCTGAGCAGCTGCCAAACTCAAATTACTTCAGGGAAGCATAGCCTCTTCATATTAGCTGAGGAGCTGACTTCTGAGGCCCTAAAGTTAATAACCAGGCTGTAAAAGCTGTCAGAAGTTTCAGTTAACTGCAAAGTCTTACAAAAAACTGTTAGCTGATAAAGATATGCAATTCAAGTATGAACAGCTGAACAGCTTTATGTAGTTCAGTAATAAATTGTACTCCACATTCTTGTTCTCCCTCTAAATGTCTGGGGTTGTTTTTTGGTCTTCCACAGCATGAAATCCTGTTTCCAAAGGAAATCTGGAAAAGCCTGCATTCCTTCTATCATGTTACTGGACACAGCAAGATCTTAAAGTCTTGTAAAGAGTTTAGCTCTTTAATGGAAAAGTTCTCTCAAATTAGTAAGAGAGCTGGAAACAAGAAGGATTAAGGAGAATTGGGAGGACTTAGGAAAAGTTCTCATTATGTCCAGTGACATTCGAAGAAATTAATATAGAAAGTGTTGAACAGTTGAAAAGCAAAAAAAAAATATATACTTGAGATCAGCACAGGACTAGATTAAGTCCATGAGAACATATCCTACTGTTCTATATGACTTCTAAGCATCATCACCTGAATGATGAGTACAAGAAAACCCTAAATTACTCTGTTGAATCCTAGGAGGATGTTTCAAGGTGAATAAATATTTCATAGATCCGATTCGCAATTTTTCAGTTAATTTCCCTGTTTCTTCCAACAGAAAACAATTACAATGCAGAATTTCAGAGGGATTTAACAAAAGACAGGGTCTGAACCCAGTTTGGGGTAGGATCACAACCCTAATCTTAGGCCAGCCAGCTCAGAGAAAGGGAGTAAAGTAGTTATAAGTAAATTATAGCCCATCTCTGACTCAGACTTGTTTCAAGATAGAAGTGAAATAGAATACGCTGAGTGTGAATGGACTTTGTACTTAATAGGCTTCAAATGTGAGTTGTGAGAGAACTGATTGTTTCTTGTTTGGTGTATGGTACTTGCTATGCCAGACGTTAAATGATAATTCTACGTGAGATCTGACATTAACAGAATTAGGTTTGTCCCAAACCTTCTATAATAGGAAAAAAAAGATAAGTAAAGAGGAAACATCAAGTGCAAGATCGTGTTCATTCACACATTCATATTATTGTGGTCAGAACTACTGACACATAGGAACCCTGGGCAGAGCACAGCAAAACAGTTGTAATTCCAAAGAAATTGTGTCTAAAATTGAAAATACTTCAGAGGAAAGGTCTGCATTATTCCAAAACAAAGAACAGACTTTTTCCCTCAGTATGCAGTCAACCAAAATCATGTGCTGGTTTTTAAAATGCTGCCCTTTCAATTCCTGTTCCATGCTGCTGTTCCCTGGGATCCAAATTCAATTTCATCTACGGGATTAGGAAGACACTGCCTCCAGTAATTTTGAGCTTTGGGTGGTAACAGCTCAAAAACAATATAACAGGTCTTGAAAAAAATATCCTAATCACAATCAAGAGCATTTGGATAGAGTCCAGCTCAGCTAGCACACAGCACAGAAACCCTCTGTGTATTACAAAGCAACTGTCTCCATTCAACTGCAAGAACAATAAATACGTAAACTTTTATGTAATTTTCCAATGAAACAGAGCAGTTGGCACATTGCCTGTGATCATGTCCAGTTCAGTTTTGAAGGTCTCCGTGGGTGGAAGCTCTACAACCTCTCTGGACAGCCTGTTCCAGTGTTCAGCCAACCTCACATGGTGCTTGTATATGAGATGCTCATATAGAATAAAACCTTTTCCTCTTCTATGTGTGTCATTTGAATGTCATAGCTGATAATGGCCTTCTGTAATGTAGAAGAATCCTAGTCTGTACATTCATTCTCAGACTTTTTTTTTTCAGAAATAAAAGCATTACAGTTAGATTTTAATAGTGAACTCCTTTATGTGCTTTGAGGCATAACTTCAGAGCACAAGAGCTCCATTACAACAAATTATGATCTGTATGTGTGTGGGACATACTATGTCTCAATACCCCCTGAGGCTGTCCTTACAGTTGGACCTGATGATCTTGAAGGTCTCTTCCATTCCTTTTCCATTCTGTCATTGCTAGATGATTGTATGATGCAGCCATGTGAGAGCTGGAGTGAAAACATCCTTGACAGGGTGTCCTGTACAGTGAATTTTTCTCCTTATATTAGTTTGCCAGAGCTCAAGTAGACCTGAACTTCAAGGAAAGGATTGGTTTTGCTGATCATTCTTCGATTCCTTCCTTGAAAGAAGGGGTAGAGGGAAAAGTTGGAGGTGGGAGAAAAGGGACAATTTGGAAAACTTACTATCACTTGTAAAATCTGTTTGAACTTTGTAACCTCTGTGGGACAGGCAGGAGAAGATGGAAAGGAAAAGGAGAGCTATTGGCTTGTTTTGCTGCACTTGAATGTCATGACAGTGCATCATTAGCTGAGAGGTGCAAGTTACTAGCAGTGTTTAAGTTCCCTTCCCTGAATCTTGTTTTTTGCTTATTTGCAGGTCCAGAGTCTGCAGGAAGATGAACAAGACACAGATCACAGGCGAGGGAAGGGCATTGACTGCGCCGCTCTTACCTGCATGGTCCAGCTGGCCCAGATCATTCTTGGTGTGGGCCTGGGGCTCCTGGTTAGTGTAGCTGGCAGTGTGGTCACTGTGATTTCTGCATCGATGGTGTCACTGATCGGCTGCTGCTTTGTTGCTTTTTGTGTTCGATATGTGGGGTAGGACTGCGTGAAGCAATTGGAAGAAATTCCCCTAGGGGAATGTTTTCTTTTTGGGTCAGTAGCACTGGTGTTCTTGCCATGCTGATGCTACTGGTACACCCTCCTCTCTTACCTGCTCGGAGCAGTTGCAATTCCAGAGCATCACTTATCTGCAAAGTGAAGACCTGGTAAAACTGGTTGCCTCAAGCCTCAGATTGAAAGTTTCTCTTTTTTGGGTGCTTTACTACTTCCTTCCTGCTGACCTCAGTGTATTAACACACTGTATTGTATGTGAAGACATGTCTGCCTGTGGTGTCTTGATGCCCTGCTTGAGAAGCCATGAAACTTACTATCAGTTTGTGGAAGTAGATGAAATGTATGATAAATTGAAGAAGTGATAAAAATGGACAGAGTTGGGATTAAAGTTGTTATTTATCTTGTTTTAAAAGTATCTTAAGTGTGGGGCTATATTCTTTGGTAGTCAAAAGCTGCAGGAGTATCAAACAGGTGTCATAAGCCATGGTGCTATTATGTCATGATTAGCAGGATCATTAAATGGTATATTAACCTCCTGGCTATCACAAAAGGAGATTTGGGTATGGAAGGTGGTTGGAATGTAAAAAACGTTGAAGCTTATTGTTTAAAAGCATAATACTAAAGCAATTATTTTATACTGGATCCTGCTGCTTGTTTACAAATGAAATGAAAGTACTGGCTGGCTTTGCCAGTTTTGAAAGTTTGGCTAAGGCTGCTCTGCAAATCCATTTTTAGGCACCTAAACAATCGATCTACAGGAAACGTGCAATTTTTTAATTCTTAAAAGTCTGTCCTCTTGACTTTGATACTATAATTGAAAAAAATAAACTTGGTGAAAATAAGAATTGTATTCATGGTGGTAAGCCAGTCAAACCTTGGCATTGGAAATAACAGTATTTACCTTAATGTAGTATCTGTTTTCTCTGTTTACCTGCATATGTCTAGCCTTGAGTGAAATGTTTTTTGTTCTTTACAGAATGCTCTAAGTCAATTCAGTTCTGCAAAGGTTGTCATGAATTATTGTACATATGTAACTCTAACCTCTACAGTCCAGTTATTTGTGTTTAATTGAGTATGGAGTTTGATTCCTATTTTTATTATATTGCCAGAGTTTCAAAGGCCCTTTGTTTGTGAAAGTGATATACTGTATTTATGCTATGCTTCCTCTATTCTGGAGATTGTCATTTGTTATGTTACGTGCTAAGCACCATGAAGCTATCCACTAATGCAATATTTTTAATGAATGGGGATACAGAGAAAGACTGCTGCCAAGTATGTTTTTATATACATGTTGCACATGAGCAGTCTTGACTGTTCAGCAAGCTAGCTGTTGAGCTCATCATCTCCTGGAGTAGCTCCACACAGTGTGAACTGACATCAATGCATGCAAATCATTGGATTTGAGCATGAGAAGCCCCTGCACAGGTACACCAGCTTCAGGTTTGTTTTTAAGAGTGTGGCAAGTCATTTATTCTCATGGGGAAAAAATAAATAAAAAAATACCTTATATAAACCCATTAATTATACCAAGCCTGTGAAAGCCTCAGCTGCCTTTTTGTGTCTGTCACCTCTGGAAGCCCCAAATGGGGCTCAGTTCATGGCAGACTGTACCTTTCTCCACAGCTCCTTCATCCTGCCTTGTGAAAAATACAAGTGTTATGGTTTCTTCTATTTTGTGACTCTTCATTAATCCTTCTCCTGTTATACTCAAGAAAGAGAAGAGCTTGTAAGAATTAACACCCTGGACTGTGCTTGAAACACTTTGTAGGTGCTGGGATGGCTGGAGCACAAGGGCCTCACCCAGGACAAAGAGGAGAAGGCCAAAAAATGAAGGATCAGTTCGCTTATTGCCATCATTAACTTGCATTGATGCAGCATCTTGCAGGAGGAGGAATTTTGAAGGGAAGAGCAAGACTTCTGTGGAGCCATAAAAATAAGGAAAGGGGGAGGCTATTTACTTTTGTAGGACGAGAAGACTCAAAGCACCATGTAGACCTGTGCTTCAGGAGCTGAGAATGGGTTAACTACATAAAGCTCTAATTCCAGTGTGAGGATGGGAAAGGAAATTTGCAACATTTACTTCTTTTTTTTTTTTTTTTGGTAACATTTTCTTTGAGGTTTAATACCATCAAAACATTAAAATTTGAACAGTCAGTGCTATCTCTGCTCTCTCACACAAAGGGAAAGCTGGCATTGATTCAGGCCAACGGAGTGACGGTAGGTCTGTAGCAACATAAGAATTGTGAACCTGAAAAGAGAAGGGAGATGTGACTATCTTAAACATCAAAGCTTTTATTTACAAGTCTGTTCAGAGAAAAATGTTTCAGGCACTCACATCATCTTTCTCATTATCTTTCCTTTTTTCAGATGAGTTGTGTGCTACAGAGCACACAACAGAATAGATTCAGCTTTTCTTTGACAGTCGTCCCATAAAAACATCCTATATTTGCTTCTAATGCTTAAAAGTAATGTCCAACTTAATGTGTCTTTGTCACAAGCAAGCAAAAAAATAAGTACAATTTGGAAAATTATTTAAAACAGAAGTATGGTTGTGCTTATTCTGAAGCAAAAAAATATATATTTCAGGTGTCTCTGGAAACAGTCAAAAATGTTGATTCATGACAAGAGAGAAAAAAAAGTATTTTTTTCAGTTACTGAGTTACATTACAGGCACTGAAGAAGCACATTAGTGCTACTAATTTAAGAAGTTCCACCTTTTCTGTCTTTCTACATTAGTTCAGGACTTCATTTGAGTTATCAGTATGATCAGTTTCTATATTTAATATCAGTTTCTATTGCAATTATGTGAGTTTGAAAGTTAGAAGGACCCTGGGTCTGATCTTTCTCATCTAATTTTGCTTCCATATACATAAAATCAAATAAATATCTATGTTGTGTCTCGGCAAACGATATATCTAGATGAAGACGCAGATATTTTGCAATAACCAGCCTTCCAGCTCTCCCACTTTAACAGAGCTAGTCATGGCAGAATGAAAGGAGGCAGGAAACAAACCTGCTGCCTTATCTTCCTGACGCTTTCCTTTTTCTTTCTCTGACAAGTGCCTGTCATTTCCTTCCATTTAATAAACTGGCCTGTCATGTAAGTAAAATGTTTTAAGAAGCTTTGATTCTCTTGTTTAGAGTACTTGCAGTATTAGTAATGTCACAGATGCTCCCACACGCGCACAATTTTCATTCTTTCTCGCGATTTCAAAAGATTTCTTTGACTTCCAAACAAGCAAAAAAGGTGGTTTGTGGGAGACACTTTTCTTCAAAATAAATTAGGTATCTCAGGATGAATCACAAAAGCCTTTGCCTTGGTACAACTCAGTTTTAGCATTGGTGCCTGCAAATCACCAGTCCCTGCAATGTGCCAAAAGACAGGGAGATGGTGATGTAAATAGGAGATGTGTTGATGCTGACATTTGATATTTTTGGACTGTAACTGAGTTGCTTCATGAAGGAAAAGGGTGGAGGTATCTGCAGTAAAATGTTTTCACATTATTTTTGACATGATAAAGCTGTACAAAAATTACCTACAAAACAGAGCTTTTCCATTTAAGTCTCCAGCATTCATTTCTCATTCCCTAGCTGCTCTACTTTGTTTATTTAAACAGCAAATGTTTGGGACCAGTTGTGCAAAACTAAACTCTGATAAAGGTTTCTTAATTCTGTTGCCTTCTATGCTGTATTCAATTTCATACATGCTTGTTTGGTTTACTCATGTTGTATTAATTTGTTGTATCACCTGAAGTATTTCTGCTTGAAAATGAACTTACCTCTCCATGTATTACTATTTTACCTGTGTATTAAAAGTAACGGCTTCATATCATGCAGGTCCACCAAACCAGAGAATACTGCCTCGTGTTGCTTTAGGTAACTACTTGCAGTAGCTAGAAAACAAAATTTCGTGCTCTCCACTATGGAGGGTGCAGTAGGCTGGGAGAAAATTACCCGAGACCAAGAATGCTCCAAGGGAAAGGGAATGGGTCTGCTGCCTTCCTAAGAGCCCAGCACTTCTTTCCTTCCCAAAGGCAGTGTGCTTGTTTGCCCCCCAGTGTTCAATGGCATTATAGCACTTCCCCAGGGCATGGGACCTGCCTTTCCCTATTGCTTTCTAACCCAAAGCCTGCCCCTCTCAATTTTGCCTTACTCTGAAGTTTCCTTATAGACGTGCCCTGCTGCAGTTAATTTCTCCCTCGTGTGTCTGCAACAAACGAAAATTTGCTTGCTACGAGCTGTAACACTGCACAACGCTGATGAAGACACATCCATACAGACACCGGGTGGTTGGAGGCCACCCAGGACTTGTCTAGCATCCAACTCATGCTAGGATCTGGCCTTTGAAGGCTTCAGCGCTAATGCCAAGAGTCAGACCAGTACTGCAGCTGTCCCCTGCTTGGCTGGCAGGTCAGTTTGTATGGCGCTGGTCCCCAGCAGCATTGGGTGGCAGGAACAGTGGTCACAGCACACAGGGAGGACAAGAGGCAGCATTCCCTGGCACCTCTGTTCTCAGGGCTCCTCTGCTCAGTAGGTGCTGAGGGGCAAAGTGTGGGGTCTAAGGAGTGGCAGGGGGAAAACTAAAAGGTCCTGGCAGTGATGCCTTTTGTTAGAGGCTGGGATGACTAACCTGGAGTTGTGTGCTTGGTGCAAAGGTATCCGAGAGGATTCCTTTTGTTTTTCAACATTGATTTTTTTTTTTTTTTTTTTTTTTTTTGTGAAAAAAAGAAACTGTTTTGCAATACAATTTTCAAGTTCTCAGATTCCAGAGACTTCAAGGGCTGAAGTAATTTTTTCTTAAATAAGTGCTGAAATTCTAACATCCCATTTGTCAAGCCTTTAAGAAACATATTTCAAATATTGTTAGATTGACATAACACTGTAAAACTTGGCAACAAAGCAGTTGTTAAAACTATGGTTATCTCTGAGAGAGGGAGAGAGAGATGGCATCTTATCAGAAAGTGTTTTTCTTTTCTGAATAGCATGCCTATAAATTCCTTTTGTAGTGTTTAATTTGCAATTACACTATATCAAGTGTACTCAAAATCCAAGATTTCAGTTATTGTGGTTAAACCCAGCAGGTAGCTCAGCACCACACAGACATTTGTTCACTCCTCTCCTCTCCTACCATGGGATGGAGAGAGATTTGGAAATAAAAGGGAAAGCTCATGGGTTGAGATAAACGTAGTTTAATAGAACAGAAAAGGAATGGAAAATAAAAAGAAGAATTTTTAGAATTTTATATATACATATATATATATATATACACACACACACACAAAACAAGTGATGCACAGCACAACTGCTTACCAAGAGATGCCCAGCCAGTCCCTGAGCAGCAGCAGCCCCCAGACCACTCCCCCCAGTTTTATTGTTCAGCACAACACCACACAGTGTGGGACACCCCTTTGGCCATCCTAGGCCAGCTGTCCTGGCTCTGTCCCTTCCCAGATCCTGGTGCACTCCCAGCCCCTTGCTGGCAGGGCAGCACCTGCTGTGGCTGAGTCCGCAGTTCTGCCACACAAGTTATGTGCACTTGGCTTCACCTGGATCTTTGGATAACTGGTCGTGTCCAGGTCATCATAAATCACCTCCAGCACAGCTAATTTCCTCAGGTACTGGATACCCCCCTCCATGATAGTCCACTTGCCTGGGTGATGTGCAGCATCTTCCCTGAAGGGGTACCTTTCCTCTACATCTCACAGAAGTCACCACCAGAGGCTGAAGGCTTGCCCATTTTCCCATTGCTTTGTCAATACCCCCTTCCTGGAGAAGGATCCCAGCTACTTGCCTCCCCCCCAGCTAATTCCAGACTACTGGCCCCGTTATCCCAGCATGGGAACAGCCAGGTGACAACATGCCTACCTGGATGATTGCTGAAATATTTGTGCATGCCTCACAGCTCACTCAGTGACAGGGATGAGGTGGGTTCTGCCTTGTCCATCACTTCTGCCTCTTCCTCCCAGTTCTCATGATGGCCCTACTTCAGAGTAGCTAGTCTCACCCACTTCTTTCTCTTTCCCTTCTTGGAGGAAGTTTTTTTCCTTACTAGTAAGATGATTTTACACATCCAGTGTTTCTTTCTGACTGTAGGGGTGGTTGATACCAGCACAAGTTGGTACTCAGGTTCAGATCCAGCTGGATCAGATCCAGAGGCATTTTCTTCCTCTTGAAGGTGCTGAGTACTACTGAATAGTGCACTTTGATAGATGCAGACCCCAACACAGTGTGGTGAGCTGTAAGTCTCTGGCATTGCCAGGACAGGGACGTATCTTTTTAAAACATACTATCAATTTTTAGGATTAAGTTCAGGGATGAACTCCAAACCCATCAGAGGTGACAACCACAGTAGATACCTGCCCACATCCTCAGATATACCCTGCCACCATAACCACTCTGCTTCAGGGCACGTCTCTGGGTGGAATTCTTAAGCAGTAGTTTGAGCTTAGACAAATCTGGAAACACACATAGGAGACAGAGCAGCAGGGTCATGCTAGTTTAAATATCCCAGGAATATTCAAAAATCTCATGAACTATTGTAACTTGCTTGGAGGAGAAGAGATAAACAGCGTGCTTATTAACAGTTGCCATGAGAAGGTTCCTGCAGTGTAAGGATGACGGCAATACGGAGTACAAATACCAGCATAAGTTCACGGTGGGTGTAACAAAAATGTGTGCTGTACAGACTGGCAAAGCCATTAGGCCAGACCTCAGAGCTGATAAACAGCAAGAAAGGAATTAAGACTAACAACCCTGAGAGCAAATAAAGCAACACGGTGAATGAATAAATCAACATTGTGACCAGAAGCTATTAAACTAATATCATGCTTACAACCAATTTGTTTGAACATGCTCTGGCCAGATCTGTCACTATCCCAGCCCTTCGTGCCCCACGTTGGGCACCAAAGGAGCTGTTGTTAACCCGGCAGGCAGCACAGCACCGCACAGCCGTTCACTCACTGCCCCCCAGTGGGATGGGGGAGAAATTTGGGACAAAAGGTGAAATCTGTAGCTTGAGATAAAGACAGTTTAAAGGACAGAATAGGAAGGGATAATAACAATAACCAACAAAACAAGTGATGTACAACTGCTCAGCACCTGCTGACTGATGCCCAGCCTGTCCCCAAGCGGTGGCCATGCACCCCTGGCCACCCCCCACCTCCCCAGATTTTACTGTTCAGCATGATGCCACCTGGTACAGGACATCCCTTTGTCCAGACGGGGCCAGCTGTCCTGGCTCTGTCTCCTCCCAGCTTCTGGTGCACCCCCAGCCTCCTCGCTGGCAGGATAACACCAGAGTCTGAAACATCCTTGTCTTAGTGAAAGCACTACTCTTCAACAACCAAAACATCAGTGTGTTATCAGCATTAGTCTTATTCTAAACCCAAATCATGGCAGCATACTAGCCACTATAAAGAAAATTAACTACCTCAGCTGAAACCAGGACATCAGTCCACATCTCTGAAAATGTAACCCCAAATCTGAAATTCAGAGTAGATTCATCTTCATCTTTTCATTATTTAGGATTGATGGTACAGGTTCAGCTATTCTTTAATATTGTTAGTATGTCCTGAGAGCTGCAGAATCCCTGCTACCTTTGGTTCAGGAGCTCATAGGTAGCTCTCTGCCCATATAGCTGTGTCAATGGATTTGATCTGGAGCTCAGTAGGAAATGCCTTTTAATGAAACAAAATGTAAGTTGTATTTCCTTTGAACCCTCAGAGCTCTTTCAGTAGAAATAAAAAGAACAATAAAAACAGCTTTGAAGTTTAAGTGTTTATTACCACAGATATAGAATAGGGGAAGATTTGAAATATGTAACAGGAGGTGATTTGAGGACATTAACTGATTTTTTTAGAGGTTTTACAGAATAAACATCAAGCAATACAGATATATGTTGATTCCATTGTATCAGAACAAAGATGTGTTCACAGCAATTCATTTGCCATTGTAGAATCAGACAGAATCACGGAATAGTTGGAGTTGCGTCTGGAGATCACTTGGCTCAATGACACTGCTGAGTGCAGAGTCAGCTAAAGCAGGCTGGTCAGGACTGTGTCTGGTCCAATTCTGAACATGTCCAAAGACAGAGACTCCACAGCTTCTGGGCAGCTGTCCTGGTGCTTGGCCACACCACAAAATAAGCTCTCTCTGTGTTTAAATGAAATTTACTGAATTTCAGCTTGTGCCTGTTTCCTCTTGTCTGTTCCTTGGAGACCACTGAGAAATGTCTAGTTCTGTCTTCTTTGACCTAATCCCCCACCCCAGCAGGAATTTGCACACATTAAAATCTCCAGGCTAAACAACCCCAGATCTCTTAGCCTCTCCTTGCATGTCAGATGGTCCAAGCCCTTCATCACCTTGATGGTCCTTCACTGGCATCCCTCCAGTGAGTCCCTGTATCTCTTGCCCTGGGAGCCCAGACCTGGACCCAGCACTTCAGATGTGGCCTCACCAGTGCTGAGCAAAGGGGAAGCATCTTCTCCCTTGACCTGCTGTTGGTGCCCTGCCTCATGCAGCCTAGAATACTGTTGGTCTTTTTTGCTACCAGAGCACCTTGCTGGCTCATACTCCATTTGTCCACCCACCAGGATCCATAGGTCCTTGCTTCTCAGTCAGTCTTCCTCCTGCCTGTACTGGTGTCCCTATATCATAGATATATCTGTCCCCAGGTGCAAGACATTGCATTTCCTGTGCTTGAGGTTCCTGTCAGTCCATTTCTCCAGCCTGCTGAAGTTCCTCTGAATGGTGGAACCACCCCCACAAACACCCACACCTTTTTTATCATCTGTAAACAAGATTGGATACATTCTGTCCCACAGTTCAGATCATTAGTGAAGATATTTATCAGAATTGGTTTCAGTATTGACGTCAGGTACCCTGCTGGTCACCAGCCTCCAGGTGGACTTTGTGTTTCTGGTCACAACCCCCTAAAACCAACAGTTTCAGTCCAGCTCACTTTCCTTTTATCTGGCCAAACGTTATCAGTTTGTCTACGGGAATGTCATGGGAGAGCACCAAAACCCTTATTTAAGTTGATATAAACAACACCCCTATCCACCAAGCTAGTTGTTTCATCACAGAGGATTATCAAGTTGGTCAGATGTGATTTCCCCATCATTTTGACCCAGGACTAACTGCTGGTAGCTATAAATTGATAACAAATTTATTATCTCAGCTTTAGGATTTGGCCTGAAAAGAAAAATAGAAAGGAATTTGATTTTCATATTTCTCATCTAAGCTGATCAGAGACTTTTCCACAAAAACAGCAGGAAGATTTTTTTTTTTTTTTTTTCCTACAAGATTTCAGTTTTATCCAGCAGGAGACTAAATGTGACTTCTGAATCAAAGTGGAAAGCTTCAATGAACATTGACACTACAAGTCAGTGCTGAATATTTAATTTGGTCATTCTGCAATGACTGCCCTCATTCAGGTGGCCTAAGCAAGGAACAGCACAGAATATTAACTCATTAGCCCAAGAAAATGAGCTACCTTTACTTTTTTTTTTTTTTTTTTCTTTCCCCAAACTGGTTAGTCGAAAGTGACTCACCTTAACTTTCTTTTAGCATTCCATAAGGAGGTAGGTCAGGGTTTCAAAAATCTCGCTTGATGAAATAAATGTTTTCTGTCTCCAGCTGTTTTGCTGGGTTTTGGGTATTGGTTTTTGTTTGCTTGTTTGTTTTTCCACCAATATATTCTGGTATCCCGTGAGTCTGTATCTTACACATAAGGTTTAGAGAATGATTCTGAGGCTACGGACAAACATAGGCTGAGAAACCTGCCCATATGTGCAAGTCCACATGGATTTGAAAGCACTTACTCTAAGGAAAACAATTCCCTGCAACTGGAGAGCAAGTCTGTTAACTCACTGCCCAGCCTTCTCTTGCAGACTCTGTTTCGATCACTGCTACTGAAAGTGCACCTGGAGGGAGCTCTTATAACTGAGCAATCACGACAAAAATGTATTTCCAATAGCCCCCTCTGGACGGCTTAATCAGAATTCTCTTTTGAAGCAACAGAAAAATAACCCTCACTAAAAACTACAGACCAGGCTCCCACACTAATGCCCTCGAGCTGCTCTGCACCCTGCCGATGCCTGCTCAGCTCAGAGATATCTGTTACATCAGCTTTCTGTGCAGGCACCCGACTGAATATCCAGCTTGTAAGGCGGATGGTACCGAAACGGGATGAATGGGATTGCATTGCTTCACTGCCGAAATGAGCGCCAGAATGATTCAAACAGAAAGCAGAGTATTTTTTTCTACCAAAGAGACATTTCAAAGGGAAGCCTGGAAATGCGATAGGAGGTTGTTAACATATTAAGAGCTTGGTTAGTTACTTGAGGGGTGTAGATATTTAAAAGTCCGGGAGCAGTCAGTTTGAGCGCCTCATCGCAATATCTGGGCTTTGCAGGCTCTCTCAGACTGTCACTAGATGTCAGTCTGCACCTTCGGGTTCCTATCGCTCCTCAGCAATGCGCACTTCGAGCAGCACCCGAAGAGCAATCTCCAGCAGGACGAGACGCATAAAGAAAAAAAAAAAAAATCTCTTAGAGAACTCTGTGAGTATCGCTTTGTATCCTTCAGCTGTGTTTATTTCAGTCCACGAAAAGGTGATTGTTACAAACGAACACACCAACATTTGGAGGAAACAGGAGCTTCTGAAGAGTGTTGTAACTTACTGGTTACTTAGGAAAACCCACCATACCCTGTTGTTGCTGTGAACACATAATCTCAAAACTGGAGCTGGAAAGACCCTCTGCTCCAGCCCCATGCCTGATGCTGTGTGCACAGCCAGTGCTCCCAGTGCCCAGGCTGGTGCCACTGCCCATGCAACGCAGAGCCCAGATTTCATGCATGGGTAGTTGGGACTCACAGCACACATGAAGTAAAATTTCTCTGTTTGTGCACAGCCAGAGCAGTGCTCTTGGGCCACACTGGACACACACTGACCGGCTACACAGCCTGAGCTGCAGGTCAGACACAAACCAACTTTTGACCAATTGTGGATGAGTATCGCCTCTTTCAAAAACCACATCTGTGACCTATACCTGGTGGATTGGTGGCTTAAGAGAGAGTCCGGTCCCTCCCTACACAACCAGGATATTTTCTTATTTGGGCGATTTGCCACACATAAGGTTTTTATGTCTTTCATGATCAGATATCTGAGGCATCATGACTATCTGAGTTGTTCTGAACTACGGGTTGTTTTTCTGCCACAAAATAATGTGTACATCGACATCCACAAAAGCACATGGGTTTTGTCATGCTGAGCACCACAGAGGAAGTCTTTTAGGCAATTCACTACTGAAATTCAAAGCTATGTTTCAGATACCTGGATAGTTTTCTACGTAATGCACGAGAGCATTAAAGCATTTGAGAATAGGAATTACAATCACAGCAAGCCACACAAGAAGCTCTGCTGCTCAATAGCAAACAAGAAAAGTATCTGGCTTCAAGATCCATCCTCTCTTCTTAATTTAGGTGCTTTTGCCTGTTCTGTGGAGATATGCTCAGGTCTGTCTGAGCCCTGGAGTTAGATGTTCACCGCACACTTTTTCTCACACAACAGTGTGGTTTTCTTCATCTGCTAGCACAGGTATTAGGGCTTTCTCCCAGAACACGTTAACACCCAAATGCATTTCTTACAAATCCTTTGACACATTAAGCTGGTGGATTTATACAGACAGAAAGCTCACAGGCTGTGAAAGCCATCTCATCACGCATGGCATACTGAAACATTAATTGAACCAGAACCTGGGAGCAAGAATAAGCTTGTGATTATACAGCCAGGTTAATCATTTTCCTCTGGGAGGTAAAACCTGGGAGCCAGACCTGGATCCAATTTATCTTCTGTATTTATTCATACAAAGAAGAAATCTTGATTCTTCTCTAGGGCTCATGCCTGAATTGTTATGCTGCAAAGTAGCATTCAGTTCACTTTCTGAACCCGCAACAGTGAGCACCTGATGCATCTGGAAACTGTTTCAAGCCAGAGGATTCAAGCACATCCACAGAGAAGCCCAGAGATTCCCCAGGGATATGGAAGGTGGAAAGGAGCATCTCCCAGACTGTGGGCAAGAGTTCTGCCCACTGAAGCAATATTTCAAAAGGGAAGAGGAAAAAGTACAATCTGCACATGCATTTGAAGGCAGGACAGGAGAAGCATATTTAGAGATAGACGCAGAGGGATAGGGAGAGTGAGTCAAGTTTGCAGCCCCTCCTAACGTGGTGTGGCCTGGCACAGGGTGTCCTGTGCCAGAGTACCCCTTAGGGTACAAACAGCAGCCAGTCCTGACTGCAGGATCCCCATGAAACGCACAGAGGTGCTACAGACATAAGCAGATTTAGGCATGCTCAGGAGCAGACTTCTAGGCACAAAAAAATTTACTGAAAAACTTTGAGTACCTACACACTTCAACTGGCAGCCAAGTCAGCATTTAGGAACTTAGAGGGACAGTTGTACAGTACTTAAATGCTCAAGTTCTTCTGTGGATATATCTGATTTTCCCCCCCTCCCCCAGAGTCTTTGCATCTTTACAAAGAAGTCCATCAGCTGCCAGCTCACTTCTGCTGTTCTTCTCCAGGCACCTTGCAGATCTCAGTATCTTCCCGGTTAGGAAGCACCCAGGGTTGTAGTAGAAGTCTCTGCTGACTTGGAAAAAGGAACGGCTTCTTGTTACAAGTAGCAGAACCAGCTGCTTCCAGATCAAACTGGAATTTTACAACAGGAGTTATTGGCATGTACAGTAAACCTAAAGGAGTCTGCAAAGCATAATTGCCACTAATGGCACTGCAATTTTCTCTGGACAGAAATAGCAAGTTTGTTCTGCATCTGTGCTTAGAGGTGACAAACAACCCTCTGCAGAAGTGCTTCTTTTTCCTTAGCAGAGTCAGGCTACAGGGGAGGGAGGCGGAAATAGAGAGGGCTTTTGAATATTGTATCGATATATTCATCCCAGTTGCAGTTTTGGGTATTAATAAGCTTGTTTTGACAACAAAGCCAGAACTGTTGCATTTTTCCATCTTCTAAAGGAAATGCTTTGACCTTCCCATTTAAAATCATTTTCCTCATATTAAAAATATTTTATAAAGGAAAAGGAAATCTATAGCCTTACCATAAAAAGTTTCACAGCTTGAAATTACACTTTTTCATGCCATTAAAAGTTCACTTCAGACTAATCTCGAATTATTTCCCGGCTGTTTCTCTGTAACACCAGATGGGACAGGCACTCTCCCTGCCCTTCTCCGGGGTGAGAGCTCCAAACTGCAGCCTCTAGGGCTCCTCACACCAGAGGATTTGAACTTGAATTAATCAAAACACTGGCAAGCATCAATGCAGACCCTTAATGAAGACTTTAGCAGAACACAAACCTTTGTGCTTGGCTTTAGCTGAACCAAGAAGGATCCTGGAGCAAACAGTTTGAAGTAGCTACAATCTGTTTTTTCCTCTTTATTTACAGTCATGCTGGTCTCCTGGAGCAAGTTACCAAACAGTCTGATGTGCAAGGGCAGAGCCTGCAGCCTCTGTGCCCCTGGGGAGACACCTGCCTTGCCACAAAGTTTGGGGCTGTGGGTTCCCCCCAGCTGTGAGGCTGGAGAACACGATCTCGGAGGGAATGGGGGTGTCACTCCCTCCCCTCCAAACCCAGGCAAAGCTCACCATGAAGCTGCAAGTCCTGCCCTGGGATTTCTCCTTGGCTGTTCGGGTTGCTCTGTATCCTGGCGGTAGCAGAGGGGATGACGGAGCTGGAAAAGCAGATGCTGTAAGGATCTGGAGGGGAGCACAATGCTTCTTGTCCCTTCTTTCCTGGGTGCTTAAGAGAAGGGAAAGGATCCAAGCCTGAACAAGCAGACGCCTTGTACCCACATCGACTGCCTGATGCCTGTGCCCTCACCGGAGCCTGGTGAGGGGCGACCAGTGCCAGGCTGGCATCATGTGCAGTGCCACACAGCAGCAAGAAAGCACCTCTGCTCCCCTCCCCTCTGCCACAGAGGGGCAGGAGAGGTGCTGGCCCCTTGCTGGCTGTGCTGCAGGGCTGTGGGAGCACAGCCGGGGCTCCCCAGCCTTGCTTCACCCTAGCCAGCCCCGTAAACCCAGTATCCTGCTGTGTGTGCCCCCAGCTGTGGCTCCAACAGGAGCTAGGACAGGTGTAAGCACTAAAAAGCATCTCCTAGAGACACTCTGATCCCCAGTGCACCACAGGCACCTTCTCCTACTCCTGTTCTCCAAGCTGGGGGGGGAGGAGTGGAACACACTTGCAAGACCATTTCCACCAACAAGCCTTCAAGAGCAGACAACCCCAGAAGGGCTTCTCCACCCATCCCTCCTCCCCTCGTTCCTACCAGGCATTCAGTGTCCCAGGGCCACATCCTGCGCAGATCCCCAGGCCCCATCCCACCCCCGTACCCCTCCCCAGCCATCTCAGCAGCGTTGCTCTGTGGAGGCAGCAGGCAGCACATCACAGCGGCTGCTGTACACCACCACCCCGGGCGGGTAGTAAGCCAGCTCCGGCTGCACTGCTGCAGCTGCAGAGGAAGCTGTGATGGGGTGTACGGGCACCAAGGTGTGCAGGGCCTGCTCCTCCTGCTCGGGCTTGGTGGTGTCGGTGAAAGGGCGCATGGTGGTGAGAGAAGGCGAGGTGATCCTCCAGAGGAGGCTCTTGAGTGCCTTGCGAAACTCCCTGCGCATGAGGCAGTAGAGGATGGGGTTGAGGCAGCTGTTGGAGTGCGCCAGGCACACGCTGATGGGGAAGAGGTACACCTGGGAGAGAAAGTACTCAGCGCTGAAGCGCACCACGTTGAGCTTGATGAGGATGCCCCACGTTGTCAGTGCTTGGTTGGGGAGCCAGCACAAGAAGAAAGAGAGCACCACGATGGACACCGACTTAGTCACTTTGGAGCGGCGCTTGGTGCTGGGGCCGCTGCAGGTGCTGCCAACATGCTTGTCGCTGATGAAGCGCACCAGGAGCAAGTAGCAGAGGCTGATGATGGCCAGTGGCAGCACAAAGCCCAGCAGCACCTTCTGGATTTGGTACAGACCCAGCCAGAACTGGGCATTGCTGCCTCGACCCTCGGGGAACTTGACAAGGCAGAGCACATCATCGAAGACGGTAGCTGTGGTGGAAAAAATGGCTTGGGGCAGAGAAGCCAGGATGGCCGACAACCAGATGAGCGCACAAAGCCACTTGGCAGAGCAGCAGCCACCCAGCGGGTCACCTCGCCGCTGGTTCTTCAAGGCTGAAGCCACGGAGCGGTACCGAGCCACGCTCATGGCAGTGAGGAAGAAGACGCTGGCATACATGTTCATGGCCGTCACGTAGGAGACAATCTTACACATTGCCTTGCCGAAGAGCCAGTTGAAGTCCAGCGCGTTCTCCACGGCCCAGAAGGGTAAGGTCAGCACAAACTGGAAGTCAGTCACCGCCAGGCTGGTCACGAAGAGGTTGATGGAGGACTTCCTCCAGCCTTGCTTGCTCTTCATCAGGTAGAGCACCAGCAGGTTGCCCACCAGCCCCAGGGCGCACACCACCGAGTACACCAGGGAGATGACGATCCGCAGCACGTCGGAGCTGTCCCCCTGCATCCCATCGGCTCTCTCCAGGTTGATGTTCTTGAGGAGCTGCAGGAAAGCCGACGCGTTGCTCCTGTTGCCCATCGGGGCTCCCTCCAACCAGCCCAGCGCCGTGTCCCAGGGCTCCCCATCCGCTCCCTCCTTCATGCCGGTGGCTGCCGAGCAGGGGCCGCGCTCACAGGGCTCTCCCATCCCATGCTAGGGGAGGGACGGAGGGGAGAAGGGAGTGAAGAGAAGGCAGAGGGACGGCTCCGCGGCAGCGCTCCTCGTCCCCGGGAGCAGCACGGAGCGGGCAGCAGGGGCTGTGCAGGGCGGGCCGGGGGCGGCCGCCGCTGTTATATCCGCCCCGCGGGGCCGGGGCATGCGCGGCGGCGGCGCCGGAGCTCTCCCGGGTGCTGAGAGCGGCCCCCACCCCCCACCCCCCCCCCCAAAAAAAAAAAAAAAAAAAAAAACCAACCCCTCGTCCCCCGTCTCCTCCCGCCCCGGCTTTACGCGTCCCACTTGGAAACCTCGCCTGGGAAAAGCGGGCGGGAGGGGAGAGGGATGCGCGCCCCCGAGACGGGAGGATGCTCACCAACACCCTCCTACAGTCCCCCCCCCCCCCCAAAAAAAAAAAAAAAGTCTGCACGGTGTTTCAGGTCGTGAAGAAGCCCCCCGGTCCCCTCTCTTTCGCAGACGTCCCGCGGCGCTCTCCTCCGTCCCCAAAAGATCCGCCTGCGGGATGGCGACGGGCAAACCGCGGAGCCCCAAAATATCCGGAGCTGGGCGTCCTGCCGATCCCCTTTCCACCCCCGAGGGTGTCTGTCCTCGGCTTGCAGGTGCACGGGGCCGTGCGGCTGCCCCCAGCCCCGGGGAGGGCAGCGAAGGGTCCCGGAGCGGCTCCGGCTGCCGCCCGCCCGCAGGGGGCCCCGCAGCGCCGGCAGCCGCCGGGAGCCGCCCGTTCCTCGCCCCCCGGCCGCGATCCCTGCGAGACCCCCGAGGAGAAGGAGGCAGGAGGTGGGGAGAGGAACAGGGGCTTTCCTACCCTCCGCTCCGGGTTTAGATAGACCGAAGTGAGGGCAGGTTTCGAGGGAGAAATGGATCCTGGGAGGGGATTAGGGTTTAACAGGTGGCTTTTTTCTCCGTAGCCTCCAAGATGATTTGTTTGATGGAAGTTCCTGCACGGACACGGCTTTGTGCCATTTGTTGCCAGTGCCCCACTCGTCCCTCTGCTTTCCAGATGCGGTGACCATGTGGAAGTACCAGCCAGCAGCAGTGCTAATGGGGAATGGGAGTAATCAGGAAGTTTTATGCATCATTTGTATGGCACATAACAAAGGAATAACTTCCTGGAGCCAGCAATGTAATGCCCCGGGAAGGCTTAGCATCCAGATGATTTGCTTTGCTAAATACATTGGTACCAGAATGAAACAAAATTTTGAAATAAAGTGCTTTAAAAAGGCTGGACACAGAGGGCCTTGCAAGACAGAGCTCTGACAGTTCCTCCCCACTTTCCTCCAAGTTATGGATTTCTTTCTAGTCTTGCATACCTCTTAATTACTGACCAGGGTTGCATTTGGGTAGTATTTTCAATACTAGGGCATTGATCTGCATCCCTTAGCCTGTTGAATGGCATCAGTTTCTGATATTCTCTCCCCCTGACTATGCCATGGTTGCAGTGAAACACAAAAGCCCCACCGGTGCTGCACAGCAGCCCATAATAGTGCTGGCAGGACAGAAGGTTTAGGATCTTTCTGCACCAGCAGTGCAACAACCATAACATACAGACACCAGCACGGTGATGGGACAGACAGTGCAGAAGTGGATGTTTCCAGATTGACTACTGCCCCATTCTGACCACATTGCTGCCTGCACACCCAGTTCGAAGTATTTTACTGGGAAAACTGCAGAAACTACGTATTGCACAAAATATTTTTTTTATTTTTTTATTTTTTTCCATATGAATCATCCCCCACCCGGTGTATTCTGTTGGTACACTGTAGGCTGCACATTAATAAAGATGCATCAGGAGGAGAGGGGGGAAATGTACCTGCACATACACTACTTTTCATTAGCCACCCAGAAAAAGCCACCAAGTGTGAACTGAGGAACTGGTGGGAATACTGGCAGTGGGTTTTGAAATCAGGGCTGCAGGCATGAGATGCTTGTCCATGTTTTTTGCTACAGCCACCAGACAGATTTTTCCAGTCTCCAGTGGTTTGTCTTTTTCTTTTGTCATTCTTCACCTCAGAGAAGAAGTTTTAGAGGTAGGTAAAGGAACTCACTAAAGATAGATGAATAATAAAAGAAATATTCACTGAATAATTTACTCGTCATATTATCTGTACATTTCCATAGCTGGAAAAATGTTAAAAAAAGTCACCAGATTTTTTGAAAAACTATTGCAAAATTCATCGGATACATTACCTAATGATTATTATTCTGGGAAATATTATTTTCTGCTTGTTCCATGTCAGTGCAGCAATGCTGCAAAAGACTTGTCGCTAATGTGAAACTTCCTGGAGTCTTCCCTTCATAAAAGTGCCAGTGCAATTCCTGTTACTGGCTCAATCTTTTTGACAACCCTAAAAATACTTGATGGGCAAAGGCTTTAAAGGAGTGTTCTGGTGATAACAGAAATAAGGGCTGGTTTGCTTGCTTATGAAACCTCAGGTGGATCCTTAAGAGTTTTGGGAGAGGCATTTTGGTGTTAATTTAATACTGTGCTAAAAGAATCCATGGAGCTAGCTTGGCTTGCTTGACTTAGATAGCGTCTATCTACAGAGGAAACTTGGAAAGCTTGCACCAGCTCACCCCAACAGCAACCACCCCCTTGTATCAGCGATAAATGTGCCCCTGCATGCATTTCCCGAATTGCATTAATAGTGTTTCAGATAAACATGCCAAATACACATTTGCTGAAAATGACAATTTTCATACAGTTCACCCTGCCCTGGAGGATCTATGTCATTTTTTGCTTCCTTTACAAAGCTCTTACAAAAACAAAGGACTGATTATGATTACAGCAGTGACTGAAGCATCTGTATGCTGTTCTGAATCTTATTCAGCAAGGGAGATGGGGTTTTGTTTTCAGTATGACAGCCTCTATTTTATTTTTATTTTTTATCTTAAAGCACATTTTTGAAATACTGAAATAATTTGAAATATTCAATCTATTTGATACATTGAATATTTTGAAATATTGTATCATTATTTCAAACAAAGAAACATTCCAAATGGGACTATTTCATAGGGCAAAGTATTTTTTCTATTTGACATATTAAAAAAAAAAGACAAGTAATGGTAAAGGTCTTGAATGGATTTCATTATAAAGAGTTATTAATGTGTTACTTAGATGGGTTTGACATTATTCTTAAATGTTACCTTCTTGCAATAGGATTTCATTTTATGAATAATTCTTTTTATGGCATTTCCTTCTCATTAAAACACTTTTTTTTTTTTTTTTTTTTTTTTTTTTTTTTTTCTTTGAGCAGAAGGCAGAAAGGGAAAGAGGAAAAATGAAAGGACACTTCATATTTATTTATTTTCTCAGTGCTAATTTTCAGAGCTCATATGGTCTCGTATTGCTCGTATTGGCTTTTTATGAACTTGTGGATATGATCTCATGATTTTGACTATATTCAGATAGTGAATTGTTACAGTTTGAAAAGGGTTTTACAGCTCTACTTTCTACATCCTGACAGTGAAGATTTGGTGCAATTTGGTGCGTATACAGCATGGGAAGGCTTTCACAGGAATTCTTTTCTTAAAAGTGTAGAAGGAAATGTAAGCAGGTTTTCATTACAAAACCTTGGTTAGATAACACAGTCATCGTGACCAGAGGAAAACATCATCAATAAAACTTCACAGAATACAGACATGTTCTCTAGAAAGCATTATTTAAATCTAGATAGAAATTTTAATTAAAAAAAAAAAAAAAAAAAAACCAAAATCATGTTAACATCTTCTCGTCATCTGCTTTCTATGTACATCACTGAGAACATAATTTCCTGACACTGATTTTCATAGAAATTTAATTTCAAAGTGACCTGTTGCTCCACAAACTTGCTTTGAAATTGTTAATACAGATAGGAAGATCAAATGAGCTTTAAATTTACATGAAAGAGATCATTTTGTGAATTATCTGACCAATTACAAATAACAACCCAAGTCTGAACACTCATCAGGATACTGAACGTAAGCATCCCAAAAATCTCATGTAATGGAACCACATAGTACTTTAGAGTTTGCTTCACTCTGTTGTTGGAACCTATCCACACACATGCCATAAGTGGAATGTAAGCAGATATTTTTTGCATGAGTAACTTACTGAATTCCAAAAATCTTTAAAGGCTAGAACTGAAATGGAAAGTGAGAGATCCAACATTGTTTTTGTCTCAATTACCAGAAGTTAGCTGGGTGTAAGAGACTGTGTCTCTAAATGAAAAAGTGGGAAAAAGATTTATTTTTTTTTAAATATACTCACAAACTTCCTTCTAAATATGTCTCCAAAAAAAAAGGAACAGGTGCACAATAATTACTCAGCAAACTTTCCACGAGAGTCCTTGGGATTCAGTGTCATTCCCTTTCAGTTTATTTCTCTGCTAATACTTCATAGTTCTAACACGGTCCACCATATCACATGTGATTTATCTCCTTAACGTTTCCTGTCCAAGCAAATTGTTAAACTGCCTGCACAGTTAACAGACAGCCAGGTCCAAATGGTGCTTCACCTTGCATGTGGCAGAAAGGGATTCCTCTTTATCCAGGTGCATCTTCTCTTATCTACTGAATGGAGGAGCGACAACCAAGCACGTATTAGATGCCTTTTAGATCTTTAAATCTGGGGCAGGAGACTTTCATTCCCAGTGAAGCAGAATTTCCCTTACTGTCTTCAGGTGGGCTTAATTTTTTTGCAACTCCTTAATATCAAATCATGTAATTTATGTTGTTGTTCCTCACCAATCATAACCACTGCATTTCTGTCCCTATGCACGTATTTATACAAGTACACAAACTACTGTGTACTTGTATACACATTTTTGTGTACAAATTACACGCTTTTCTTTTACCTCTGGTCTGCAGGTCTACTTAAGGAAATTAAAAAAGTTTCAGATATGGGTGGTTTGACAGTATCTCTTAATCACAAATCTTTTTGTTTGTTTGTTTGTTTTGTTTTGTTTTGTTTTGTTTTTTTCCCCCAATCTCCATTCAATAAACATAGAGGCTTTTCGGTGTTGAGCTGCAGTTACTGAACTGCAATACCTTTGCTGCCACAAGAACGCTGCTGATGTGGTGTATTCTTTTCCTTTTTGTAACTGAAGTCGAATTATAAAAATAAAAACAACCCATACATTCACAGAAGGTTCCAAAAA